GCTCTTTTAACAAATCTTATACACAGGCCCTAGTGATAAGGCTGTGCCAAGACCAAATCTCTTTTTCACCCAAATATTTGTCCAATTTGTTTTATTTTTGCTGTTTTGCTTCTAACATATATGATGAATGGCGTGTGGTGGATATTGGTGTGGTCTGTGTGTATGAGTGCGTGAAAATTAGAGGTGTGAAATTTCAGGAGGCTATCCAGAAAGGAAAAGCCTGCAAGGATGCAAACAGTATGGTTTGTCTTACCAATAACCTGGGTCAAGTGCATTGCAATGAAAGGAAGGTGGCTTAAATAGTAAATGTATTAAAAATTACAAGTAGGAGAGTCTAGTGTCCTAATTAAGTGTTATAGTTAAAGTGCTTGCCTATGAACACATTCACCTGAGAAAGTCTTTAACCTAGTTTGTAACCTAATTAATCTGCATAATTGCTCAGCTAATTTTAGGACTTAAACAAACCAGAGATGGTAATCAGCAAATTGAGAGGCTCCACGACTTGAATTTGATGGAATGGTCTTCGCTTTATAAGTTTAGTGACGTTTGCCTTTCCACTTCTGTCCATCAGACACAGATTAGAACTGGTTCCCAGCAGCAAATTGACTCCTGTTCAGATATGAAAAGTACAACATTATTTCAGATTATTTGTTGCAATTATATTTGTATTAGACTTTTGATACTTCAATGTGTTAATATATATAAAGGTGACTTTTATAATTTCAGCCTAATATTAATTTCATACTGTGCAGCTATGTACTCTAATAAGAGAAGAAATTTCACTGAAATATATGAGAAGATGGAAGATGACACTCTGCCATAATATTCTACAGGATGGTGTCTACAACGCCATTTTAAAAACAGAATTTTATGTGTATCTGAGAATCTAGTAGTTGTGTCTCAAAGTTTACCAAAGTCAATCCTTTCACAGATTACTATTAAGCATCTTTAGTCTGACACATATCAAGAATTCAAATTAGTTTATTTCTTATTCCTAACTATAACAAAATGTTTTAATACTTTTAAAATAATTATACATATTTTTAACTTGAGTGCTTCTATGCTCATTTAGATGTTTAAAAATTTACCTTTTAAATGCCTGTGAAACTGTGCCTAATTTAATGTATCTAGGTGCCTATGCTATCTTTTACTTGTTGGCTTTCTCTAATATTTCAAATACAAGTACTGTTTAAAAGCCAATTGCAAAGACTGATATAGAAGCTGTAATTAAATTTAAAACACATTTCAAACTGCTGTGGAAATATCCACCACCAACTCAGACACAGGAGAAAATTAACCAAGTCATAGAGAAGGAAACTTTGGTATTTGTCTTCCCCGTGCAGAATATTTGTGCTGTGCAGATACAAGGAGAAAAGACAAGTGTCTCTCCCTTCATTTTTCCACTCTGCCCTTTCCCTTTCTCACAGCCAATAGCAGATTTTGAAACAGCAACTTCCCTAAGGGGAGTCAGAGGAGGAGGAAATACCATCACTTTTTATTATGATCTTTTACTTTTCAAAGCATATGATCACTAGTTATAAGTATGAGTTACTCGACATTACACTTGTGGGTAGCTGCTAGACTGAAATACTAATGACTTCTCATTGTCTGGTACAATTAGCAAAGTTTTGAGGATGCTGTTTCTAAATTGTTCAATCCATATAATTATGTTTGCTCCCTTGTTCTATTTTTAATGGAAAACCCCTCTCCTGCTCAATTGTACACAACGTAAAATCTATCAAATTGCAAGTTGGAGGCCAGGCATATAGATCAGTGGCATAAGCGTCTGCCTGGCAAGCGCAAGGTCCTGAGTTCGATTCCCAGTACCAAAAAAAGAAAAAAAAGTGCAAGTTGGAGGTTAGCATTTACTTTGGAAGTTTCCCTTCACTGCACTCACTTACTCTGTTTTATTTATGATACAGACTGACTTGAGGTAAAATATTGTCTCAGCATTATTTATACCACTATTTTTTCAAACAAAGAATTGAAGAAGGCTGTCAACATTAAGACCTTACACTTGAAATTTCTCTTAAAATCCTCATAACCAGTTAAAAATAAGATTCAACAGAAATATTTCTCCTAATACCTTACTAGATATAATACTCGGCACTGTACCCTAAATTAAGAATATTAAGCTTTTCCAATTTTATATTTTAGCAAAAGTAATTCAGGTTTAAAAGAAAAAAATATTATTAAAAGGACAAGGCATCAATCAACAAAATCATTTCTGACTAAATTATAAACAAATTTTTATTTGATTTGGTAATGATTTGGTAACAACACATGTTTTACATATATAATTTTCACTTGTTTTCTATATAAATTAAGAATAGAGTCTTTTATAAAAACAGTTCAGTTTCTAAAAGCCTAACTCACCCCACAAAGAACCACAGTAGATCTCAGAAGTAAATTCTTTTTCATACATATGGATTAGTGGTTTTGTACATTTAGAGGAGACACAAGGTGGATTAACATTGACTTCAAAGGTTCTCTCAGTTGATTTTTCAGGTACTTCCATGAATCCAGAAGATACTGTCAATAAGTAAGAAAGAGATATTAAGAGAAATTGCTAGTTTTACACCATATGTCCTCAAGTGTTTCCACAAAATGTCACAGCCTAAAAAGTTCCTTTTTCTGTAGTCTGCTTTATTTTTTACACAGGTATCATTTTGAAATTCCCTAAAACATCAGACAACACAAATCACAATGTTTAATATACATTGCTCAATGGAAAAATATTTCAAGTAACTATTATTAGAATACAACCAAAATCTTATAAGGGACTCAATTTCTCAACTGTAGCTCAAAGTTATGCACCATAAAGATCGAGCCAAGATTAGATTTATTAAAAGCATACATCCATCTGAGTCATGCCAACTGAATATCAGAAAGATTTAATTCCTTGAAGGTTATTAATAAGTGATTAAACAGCACTGCATGTGAGAACAGATAGAAGCACTGAGTGAGCATATTAGAAACTCACAGATGGCACAGGCAAAGTCAGCATTAGCAGCCATCCCAGAACCTTTGGAAGGAGATGAGTTATTGGCAAAAAAGTCCAATTGTGCTGATGATTCTGATATGTCTGTATTGCCATCCTCATAATCTAGCTCAGGGGACGCAGCATCGGAGGCAGTGGAGTTTGAGCCCTCACTCCCACCATTTAGCTCCTGAAAGGACACCAAAAATAACTTTTATTTTGTTAGAAAGTTTATGTAGAAGAATTATGCATAGGAGTCACTTAAAAATGTGAATGTAAAATTTGTATTATCTACATCCTTATAAAATCCACATTTACTTACAAAACTCAACAACTGATGTTAGAAGTGAAACATGAGGGGCATTCATTCTCGTTTATGCAATTTGGGTGGTGCTAGCATTTGTGTTACTGTGCTAGGAAGCTGATTTACATATCACCTTCTGTTCTTACAATAAGCCAAAAAGTGAATACAATTATCTGCTATATACTAATAATGAAACTCGAATTTCCTTGGAAATGTTAAATACTGCTTTGTATGTCATAGTGCTAGTAAGATGTGAAACTGGAATTTGAAGTGAAAGTCTGTTTGGTTGCAAAGTGCACATTCAAGTATGTCATTCCAAATGGCAGCTTGCAAAAGTAAAAGGCACAACACTTTCTAAGAATTTATAGCATGAAAAACCTAGGTGCTGAGTTTTGTAAGTAAGTATGGATTTGCTAAGGATGTATGTGTAGAGCATGAAAAGCCTAGAGGTAAAATTTTAAATGACAAAGGAAAAAATTAAAGATCATTTACACAATGGTAGTTCAGAGTGTAAATATATTTTAGTGAAAATTCACCCTGCTACCTTTAGCTAATGAAAGTAACAAAAGGTAGAAACCACAAAAATATGATAATTTATGTGGCATTTCACATCCTATAGGAAAACACACCTACTATTTTTGACAAACCTGTCTATTGAAAAGTTCTTCCTTGTAGCTAAAGAGTGATTTTTGGTACCAGGACAATTGTTCCACTCTGTCAAGGAATGGTTTTCATTATCTAACCAACCAGTAAACCATAGTACATAGCAGTGCATCACTTTAAAATTAAAATGCAAGGAAAGTCTATTTACTCTGTAAAGAACAAAAATTTTCCTTACAATAACTAGAGATATTCAGACTAATGTTTGGACATCCTGTTTTACTATATTTAATTAAGATGAATGATAGATTTATGGATAGATAGATTTACATATAGCTTTTCCCACTGATACTGCTTTCCTGTTGTAAATCATTTAGGGTGTTTCATTCCTCTGAGTTTTTTTTCTTTTCTTTTGTTCCATTAATTAATGTCTTCAATAATTATTGTAGGCCAGGCCTTAGGGTGGACTCTTAGGTTTAGTGAGTTGATAGAAAATAATCAAGAGCAGATTAGACATGATTACTTCCTTTTAAGAGTTCGTAATCTTATGTGACAAAACAGAAGATAGTACACAAATAACTAAAATGTCGTAGGTGCTAAAGTGGATCTATGTAGAACAATACTTGAAAAAACACATGGAGGGTTACATAATTCTGCTTTGGGAAGTAAAAAAACTATATTTGAATTGAATCATAATTGATGACTAAATCAGAAAGTGGAGAACAGGTAAGGGGCAGCCCTCCCAACAGAAAGAACAGCTTTCTGTGCAAGCGAGCATGAATTTATAAAAAAAAAGCCTGACCTCTTCAAAGCCGGTTTGCGCAATAGAAAAAAAGGCTAGGAAAGTAGACTGGTGCACTCTTTTCCATTTCTGAAGTCCCACCTTTGTTTTCAGATGGGCAGATAATCCCTATTTGTCATGAGTCAGTTCAATTCCAGTACTCCAAAAAACCTTCTCTGAGAAAACTCCTACTGATTTACCATCTGTGAAACAACTTGAATATTTTAAATCATTTATAAAATCAATAAATATTTTGTGAACTACAAAATTATCATCTAAACACATTATGTTACTTCAATTAAAACTGTATTATCTCCTGGCATGGTGGCGCATGCCTATAATCCCAGCACTCGGGAGGCTGAGGCTAGAAGATTACCACCAGTTTGAGGCCAGTCGAGGCTACACAGAGAGTTCAAAGCCAGCATGAACTACATAGCAAGACTCTATCTGAAAACAACAATGACCAAAAAAATTCACAGTGTATGCTGACAATTTGTCAACAGTTAAATATGACTTGACATATAATGTAGCAATTTCACTCCTAAATAGAGGCCTAAAAAGAACTGAAAACAGAATTAGGTACCTGTACACCAAGATTTACAGAAGCATATTCACAATAGGCCAAATGTGGAAACAAGCAAAACAAACAGTGACAGAAAATTGTTCAGCCGTAAGAAAGGAGTAAAACCCTAACATGCTACAACTTGATGAAGCTTGAAAATATTCTGCTGAATGAAATAATCCAAATATGACAAAACAAATATTGTCTGATGAAAAATATAAATTACCTAGAAAGAAATTAGAATGCAGTTTACCAGGGAGGAGGGAAAGTATCTGGTACTTAATTGTTTTTGGGTATGATAAAAAAGAGTGGGGAGGGTTACACACCACTGACAGTGCTAAATGCCACTGATTTGTACACTTAAAATGATTAAAAGTAGCCAAGCGTGATGGCTCATGTCTGTAATTCTAGAAATCCAAGAGGCTGAGGTAGAAAGATTTCAAGTTTGCATTCAACCAGGGCAACCCAGTGACTTGTTTACACCCAGTCTCAAAATTAAAAAACAAGAAGAAAAGGAAAAACAGAAACAGTGCTGGGAATGTAGCTCAGGAAGACAGCCCTGGGTTTAATCCCCAGTACTGTAAAAAAAAAAAAAAAAAAAAAAAGTTAAGTTGTATATTATGCATATTTTACAATAAAAACAGGCTTCTCAGAAAAACTGTGTATTAAGATATACCACTGCAGGGCTGGGGATTTAGCTCAGCAGCACAGCACCTGCCTGGCAAGCGTGAGGTCGTGAGTTCGATTCCTGGAACCAGAAAAAAAATAAAAAGATATACCACCGCATACACGTGATAGGACTGAAGAAAGGCACACGAGATTGTTTTTGTCCCTGGAAGCAAAACCCAGCCAGCCAAATTAGACGTAATAAAGACCTCCACACACAGCTATAATTAAAATGTTTAATGTTTGGGGGCACAGGGTTGCAATCTATTTGGCATAACTGGAAATGCTGAATATTACATACTGAAACACATTCCTAATGAGATAAATTTATTATTCTTTACCAATTGTACATTACCTCCTGTTGATGTTCAGAACTGTGGAGTGGGGATCTCTCTAATCCTGCACCATCTGTGTCTGAGTGCTTTTCTCCTTGATTGAGTTCAATCGCTCTATCCTCTTCACTGATGCCACTGACTCCCTTATTTCCATTACTCCTGGTACCTCTTCCACTATCTGTGTCCTCTTCATGTCTTTCCTGATCTCCAGTGGCTACACTGCCTCTACTAGCTGCACTTCTTCCATGGCTTTCACTGCTATGGCCTCTGCTGGCATCTTCTTTTCCATCACTGCTGTCTGGCTTGCAGCTTCCATCTTTATCACAGCTTGCCCTGATAACAAGGACAAATTAAGAAAGAAAGCCACCCAACAAAAACATAGCTAAAAGGCAGTAAATGAAATAAAATTCAGGTTCCCTCTTACATATATGCCATGTCTAGGCTGGCATGTGAACACTACTATTAATCAGACAAGAATAAATGCCACAACGTCTTGCCAATCTTAAATACTGATTAGCATCATAACACTGTCAATTCTTGGACTGCCTTTGGGTGACAAGAAAAACAAATCGCATTCTTTGGTAGGTACATATATTAGATTAGTAGCACAAATGTGTACTTTTTTCTTGCACAATAGATTACTTCATGCATTCAAACCTTCATGGCCACATGAATGATTAAGCCCATATCTTTGGCTCAGCCACAACATACTTGAATAATTCATCTGGCAACATGTCTAGTTTGTGCTAAATTTAACACTTGCTTTTATTTTCTAACATATATATTGACTTCTTTGCTGCAGAACATAATTGATCAACTGATCTCCCAGCAACTTAAAATAATATTGACCTAACGTCTTATAGAAATGTGGTAGTCATTTAATCATTTTGAAAAAACACCAAACTTGCCAAGATGTCTAAGTATTCTCTTTTCGCATAAGAGACATTAAAGATAAGTGGCCATAGTGACTCTAAAGATAAATCTATGTGACAATGGAATTCCATTTAGTTCTACGTGTGGTCTTGGAAATTGAACACAGGGATTAGTGTATGCACTCTACTACTGAATTACATCTTGTGTCCTGTCTTTTTAGTTTTTATTAAGTTGCCAGGTTGACCTCAAACTGGTCATCCACCTGCCTCAGTCTCTCAACATTTAAAATGTTGATAGACATTTTACTACTTAACTAGGTAGATATCATGCAAAATTTATTATCTGGATGTCAGTATTTCAAATGTTTAAGCAATGCCTAGCTATGTTTGAAATACCTCACCTTTGTTCCCTTTTTGCACTGTTGTATTTCATAGTAGTAAGATTTATTCACAATAATCTTAATATAAACACTCAGGCCACACCAGTTATAAAACAATTAATAAACATGTGAATGTTAATAAAATGGTATACAACTAATGTGAAATTAAGCATTCTACATTAGAACAATTTAGAAAATATTAGTAAAGATCAATTGTTTGCCAATATGCAGGGACAATTCATTCTCCCTCCAGATGATACCATACATTTGGAAAATAAAGCAAAGAAGCAAACAGTTCTAAAGTTATAAAACATGTATAATATGAATCACTGAGAAAACCCACCTTGAACAATCAGCACCAACATGATTATTATCCATGCCATTGACAGACGCGTCAATGTTGTCATCAACATGGTCTTCACAGACATCATTTTCCTGAGCAACCTGGTTATCTAAGTCATCATTGCTATTGGAATGGCCACAGGCATCTTCATAAGCATAATTAGAAACACCATCATCACCATCAGTGTCATAAAGTTCCACATATTCACCGTTCTCCTCAGGCGGCTGAGTGATAGGTTCAGAACTTGTCCAGTCATTCCAGAAGATTTCGGAATGTGACTCATGGCCTGGCCATTCATTTGTCAAGTATAAAGGGGGTGATATTTTTCCTACTTTAAATCCATGTGGAATCTGTGTGCAGAAGAAAGGTTAATGTAGTCTCTAGTATCCTTCGTTTTCTTCTGGATTGTAAAGTTCTCAAGCTGAAAACATTGTAAAACATATTTGCAGTTTAAGTAAAGATGTCTACTTACAAGCGAGAGTCAACATTTTAGTGAGGATGAGATGTCAAAATCCAAAATTCAAACTATGGTTATTAGTGGAATTTCTAGAGCACACAAGGGAGAATATGCTTACTTTGTTTTTATTAGCCCTACTTGTCTGCTGAGTAGTTGACATTTGCTTTTAATGCTGGAGAGACTCAGCAATTTGATGCCCTATACATATTTATTTTCCTTCTGTTTTTCCCCTGACTTTGTAGTTAATGCATGACCCCTGAAATTCATAAGTTAATTGCCCAGGTTTGGCTTTAGATGCCATAAATTATCATAAAGAATCTCAAACAGTTCAAATAGGCAAATTAATATAAATTCATTTGTTAAATATGGGATATATCATATGGCAAATTTTGGGCATGTGTGTGTATCTGGTAGAGTAAAAGCAACTACAAAATTAAAATTTTCTGAGCACACACTTCAAAATGAATTGGAAGACATTTTCATTTTTGTATCAGAGCACATTTTGTTTTTCACTAAATGTTTTATTTTTATACATTGTCTCATCAACCAAGGAACGCTATTAAACTCAAATTGAACATATGAAAGTTCAAATTGAACTTTTCTGCCCTTAATTTGACATCAGCTTCTATTAGTATCTATTGATCATTCCTCTCTTTAATATGTTCACATTGTTATAAAAATATGAAGATAAAATATTGTTTGATGAGTTAATGTTTTTCCTCATTTCAATTTTAACTTCTCAATTTTGTAATCTGTCTTGAAAAAATTAAAAATCAAACACTTTAATCTTTCCCTCTTTAAGTGGAGAAAATTTAGGTCAAAACAAATTGAGAAGTAAAGGAACAGATACAAATGTGTTAAGAATGAAACTTACATGGATATCAACCAGCAACTTCTGATCAATAGTAGAATAAGGCGGTGATGACTGGGACCTCCTCCCAGTCACAGGACTCTGCTCCTCAGAAGATTCTATGGAATGTCAAAAATACATTAGTAACACTGGTGGTTACAGTGATTGCCTTCATTTAGGTAGTGCTCCAACTCAATCTCTTGTTCTTCTCATAACCTCTGTAATTCCATTCAGGAAAGAATACCTGATAAATATTCATGGGCCAAAATCTTAAATTCTGTGTTCTGAGGTAGTAACAGGCTCAAGATTCGTTCCATTTAAAGACCTATGTGGCTGTTTTTGTTTTCAATATTCAACATATATTTGATAAATATTTCTGTATAAAAAAGTACACAATAAGACCGGTAGCCAAGTAGAGCTATTTGATTACAAAAAGAATGTAGCAAGAATATGGAGGACTAGGAGTACCACTGGCTTTACATCCTAACCAGTAGAAAGAGCACAAGTATGTTAATTAGAAAATGATAGGTCAGTCCAAACTTGTGTAATTTCATACTTCAGTCTTAACTCCCCTTCTTCAGTTTGCACCCAGTGATATGTCCTTAAGTACTTAATTAAGGAGTGACCTATTAAAAAGATGAAAAATTTAACCTGTTTTTAAAGCTACACCTTCCTAGAGGAGCCCTGCACAATGGAACTTTCCATACTGATGGGAATGTTTTGCCTTTGTACCGTCCAGCACAGTAGCCACTAGTCACAAATGATTCCTGAGTACTTGAAATGGGACCAGTGCACACAAGAAATGAATTTCTACATTTAATTTGTTAGGTTTTCATTTTAAAATCACACGTTACTAGTTGCTGTCACACTGGACAGCTCACCTCCATAGTGTAGATATTGTCATTTAAAATACAAATTTATTTAGTTCAGAGGTGTACCTTTTGATGTTAAACTGTCTGGTAAATAGTGTGTGTAGTTAAAATCCAGTGAAAATATGTACTAGGCTCAAAGGTCAGTAGATCTGCATGAGTATACCTAGATAAAGCTTCTCTAAAGGACTACTCGGGTCATTGCTTATGGTTTTTATGCACTGGGACTTTAAAGACAAATAGTTCTTCTATTTTATTTGAGGTCTTCGTATATATGGCCAAATAAAAGAAGGTTACAACTGCAAAAAGCATGCATTTGAAAACATTGCTGCACCCTGTGAACATTACAAACACACCCTATCATGCATTTCTTCATCTTCTGACACTTGAGCTTTTGCCATTTATTATTTTTTGTAGGAAATAATTTTCTCAAGTCTTTTGCTTATGAGAGTAGACCAAATAAGAAGTTTGTATGAGTGCCTTGCGAGATGGAGAAAAATCTGTAGTAAAGTGCTGCCTCCAAGAGGGAGGCTGAAATCTCATAGTATCTACGTAGTACAATACACAACAGAAGTTCAAATCTGGAAAAGAAGTTTGGGTATTGCTGTCCCCCTCTTCCTTGAATCAATGCTATTTAGCAGCTTTGGTGTCTAATCTAATATCTCTATTTTTCAAAAAGGAGACATGAATAGACCTTAAAAGTTCAGTTGTTTGCCCAGTATACAAAAATTAGCACAATTGAACAAAAAGAAATGATTCTGGGGAAAAAAGCCTAAAATTAATAAGATTTAGCTTACTTCTCAGAAGACAATGATTTTGTAGAAGAAGACACTACTACTTAAACACATTCTGTAATTACTTGATTCTCTTATAGTGAAGAATAGGATATTTAAGTTCATGGTTTTGAACACTAATTTTCTGAATTTTCCTAATATTTAACATAATCTATATGCTAGAATTTTAAAGATAACTTGGGGGCTCCAACAGGCATTTGTTCTTTGCTTATCTTAACAGGGATAATTATAATTACATAATGCCATATTTTACGACTTAAGGAACAATTTTTATTTTATCACCACATCTCACAAAATTTCAATTCACTCAAACTCTCTCAAAAGGGCCAAGGATGTAGCTCAGCGGCAGAGTGTCTTGCTTGGCAAGTGCAAGGTCCTGAGATCGATTCCCGGTACCAAAAAAAAAAAAAAAAAAAACCTCGTTCAAAAGGGTATCTTGAAAAATGACACTTGCTTGAAATTTATATCATAGTTTATGAAGTTCTTTTATGTGACTCAATTAATTATTTATGTATGTTGAATATGGTCATCATTTCACACCATTTAGAAATACTTATGCCATTCATATCATATTTTGAAACAGTTCAATAACAAGCTAACAAAACACACTCACATAAATTTATATCCAATATTCTAAAGGTTAATTATACATTTTGCCTACTGGAGAAGCCCTTCTCAAGTTATTTCTCTTATCTGTTTGTCTCTCCTGCTTTTTTTTGGTTTTTTTTTTTTTTTTTTTTTGGTTTTTCTCCGGTTCCGGGAACCAAACTCACGACCTTGCGCTTGCCAGGCAGGTGCTTTTGCCTCTGAGCTAAATCCCCAGCCCCTGTCTCTCCTGTTATACAAACTAAATAAAGTTGACTTCTATACTTTCCTAGACACATTTCAAGAGAAAATTTAAGACAAATCATTTTCTATTTCCCAAAGGTCACACTGACCACCCAGTTGCTGAATTCAATGGCATTCTGTCCTAATCCTATTTGGATTCCCTAACATGTTTGATTCGTTCTCTCTTGAAATTCTTCTTTCTTGACTTCTGAAACATAAACTAGTAAATGTTAGTGTTCTTTGACTGTTGCAACTTTGCTTTGAATCACCTGATGCTGCTTCAAAATTCTCAGGATTTTGTGCGCTCCTTCCTCTGATGTCAATGGGTTCCTGTGCTTGTTCCAAAAGGGAGCACTGCGGAACACTAATGAAAAGACAAAAAACATGTGCCAGATCGTAATATTCATAAAGCGGAACCTACAGCTCAACATAAAGATCAACGAAAAGGTTTTCTTAAATATGTAGGAGCACATATAACACTGAAAAGAATTAGAGTTTAAGTAATATTATCCATTTCCCATTTTCTGCCATATCTGCTATTTTATCTAGAACAGAGAAATAATTTCTAAAACAGGGAAATATAAACCATGTGTTCATATAACAAGGTTTTTTCACATATTATTTATTTCTAAAAATTTCCATAAACTTTCTTTAAGGTAACATTGAGACAATATTATTACCAGGTAAATACTGCAATAGACAAAACTTTATAATATTTATGAGTGTTTTAACATGGGAAATATAATAAATAATTATTTTGTCAAAAATTGTCCTGTTATCCTGACTTTTATATGCTTAGATTTTGTCTTTTTTAATGTAGTTCCTGATTTAGATTGGTGGAAATGGCAGTCCTGTTCTTCCTATTCAAATTTAAAGGCCACTTCTGTGAAATTTTATAATCACTTTAAAATTTCCGCATGGGACGGAATTTGGTTATTGATTTAGACTGTAATAGTCAAAGACTTTTCTAGGACCCAAAATTTAAAAAGAAACTTTATTTTACATAATTTTATAAATACAAATATATTTACAGGCCATGCATTTGTCATACATAAATTTAAAATTATTTTGTAAAATGAACAATCATTACCAGATTAACACTTCATTTAATATTTATATACTTAATTCTTTTGAAAATTATGTTCTATGGTATCAAGAATAGCTACAAAAATAAGCTGATTTCTTCCCTTTGAGGTCAAAAGCACTAGGAGAACCCATACATTAAGAATGTGAATAAAAAGCAAGTTTTGGACTTGCATTCTAATTTTTCAATATTGCTACTCTCCACTTCAATCTGGAGACATAAATACAAGTGCTAAAAAATAAAGAGGTGGGATAACCTGTATTACATACCATCACCTCTGTGCCATTTGACCGTGGTGTCCAATATCTTCAATATAAGCAGTGCTTAAAAAATATTTATTGAGTGACTCAATGAATGTAGGCCGAGTTCTCTCCATTATCAGTTGGAGTTTGAGAGGGTATGATTACCAAAGAAAATATATTTAAAATTTGGCTTTCAGGTATAACCACATTTGCACACAATATGTAAAATATGAAAGAACATTATCTTTGAAGATTACTAATATGGTAAAGACGAAAATTATATATGGTGTCAATATTCCACATGATATAACTTTCAGTTAGACCTGAATTTGGTTATACGTAAATACCAGCCCATACTTCCCGATGTGTGGTATTATCATCTGCATTTGGTGATAATTTGTGTGTGTGTGTGTGTGTGTGTGTGCATGTGCACACATATGTGTTCTTTATCATGTGGTATGTTCAAAAAAGTCGCTTGAAATATCTTTTCATAATCAATTACTAATTGAACACTATCAAACAGTTCATAGTTATTTATTTTTTAATATTTTGGATCATACTGGAAAATTATGAAACTAAGTGACATGTTAAGTATATCCAAATGTTAGATATGCAGGTATTATATCATCATAGTTAAGGTTGTAAACGTGGGCCAATCATGCTAATGCTGTTATGTTGTTCCTGGTATTTTAGATTTGACTTCTCACAGAACTTGATGGCCAAGAAGCAAACATTAGTTTTCCATGTGAGGGTTAGCCATAAGTAACTCAAATACTGAAATCAGAGACACATACCTTGAATGGAACTTGACATGGTGTGCACAGACCTCGTTGGATGGCATAGGAGAAGATCTGTCTTGAATCTTGAAGACACAATGCAATACTTTGCTATTTTTCTCAGTCATGAATTATTTTGAGTTACTAATTGATAGAAAAATACTTTTTATATATTTTCTTAAAAATTTAACTTATAATATGTGACTTTAGACTTTATTTTCATTGTTAATCATACTATAACACTGAAATTGTTTGTCAAGAATTTGTGATGATATCTTTGAATTTTAGAATAGGAAGAGATTCTGAAAAAGAATATAGTGGAAACTCTGCATGTTGTTCCTGAGGAATAGGGAGCTCAGAGAAGAAAAATGACTTTTCTAACAACTTTACCTCAAGTCAAAGGAATATCTAAAGCCAGAATGCGAATGTCTTAACCTCTTCTTAAATATTCTTTCTAAGTTATCACATTTATTTTTATATTAAGTCCATACTTTTCACTTAAAATTACACATTGTTTAATCAGTCTTACATGCGTATATGTGATTGTCTGAGTAACCTTTTGAAGATGATGGTATGTATTACAATAACTACTGTTGATTTCCTATCACCTTGTTTCTAAATTCTGTATCACTTTTATTGCTTTTATGTTGTTTTGTTCATGGTATTGTTATTTTGTTTTTTGTTCTTTTCTCTTTAAAATAAAAAAACTCATACTTCTCCCTTAAAATTTAAGAATTGTACTTCAAAATTTTTACCCTTTTCAGCTAATTCTAGATTTTTTAAGGTATACACACACACATACACATGCACACACACATACACACTAAAATTCAGTTTTGCTTCTCAAGAATCAAAATTGTCCCACCTTAAGGAAACTTTTTAAACTGTACAATTTATGCTGTCATAGTGTTAAAAATATTTTTCATTTTTATTCTAAATAAATTAATTTGGGTTTTACTAATTATACATTTATCTAATACGGACAGACACTCAAAAAACAGCACAAATAATGACCCATTTTCCACAAGTGGGGAAAATTCACTTTCTACAAACATCAGGAGACAGCACCATGGAGTTTGCCTCCTTAATTTTATCTCCTAGGTCTTATTTACAATAGTTTTTAGCTAGTAAAAATTATTCTAACACAGAACGAGATGGTGACATTAGATTCTTTAGAAAATAAGTTTCAATATTGTACACTCTCAAAAAAATTATCTAGCATTTTCATGCCGATAAAATCACTCCATTGTTTCTATAAACTATACTCACCTTCCACACTATTTTCTCCTATGAAGTGATCTTTCAAAGCTTTCTTTTCACTCCAAAGGACAAATTGGGGAGAAATAAATAGTGTTGCCAATTTTTCGTTTCTTTTTCTTTCTTTCTTTCTTTCTTTCTTTCTTTCTTTCTTTCTTTCTTTCTTTCTTTCTTTCTTTCTTTCTTTCCTTTTCCTTTTCCTTTTCCTTTTTTTGGGGGGAAAGGGTCTTGCTATGTAGTTCAGGCTGGCCATGACCTAACAGGCTGGCCTCAAACTCACAGTGATCCTCCTGTCTCAGCCTCCTGAGTGCTAAGATTACAGGCATGCACCACTATGCCCGACGTAGTCCTGCCAGTCTTTCACCTGTTTTTACTAATGAATGTTTCTAAGCATAACCAAATATTTGGTAATACATATGTAAGAAACCTCTGCCTGATGAAATTTTTCTACTTTCAATTCAGATAACTGCCATTATAGTGACCCAGTATAAACTTCTCAGTTTATGAAAGTAATCTCAGGAGTGATTGTAAGTATGTATGTATGTATGCATATATTTATTTATGAGATAGTGGTCTCAGTATGCTACCTTGAACTCCCAGGCCCAAGTGATCATCCTACCTCAGCCTACAGAGTGGCTGAGACTCCAGGTGTGCACTACCACATCCAACTCAGGAAGTTTCTTGACAGTAGTAAACAGAAAGATAATAGCCAAAAGGAACAATAGCAAGACCTTGCAAGAGTTGGCTATGTTTGTTTTGAAAACTGGGAAGAGGAACATAATTAGAAACAACAGCCTACGCTAAGACACACAATTGATTTTAAATGAAACACAGCTCCGTACATTTTCTTGCTTATGGTGTTATGCTTATTGTGTAAGAATAGAAGTAAAGTCATTTACCAAGGCAGAGAGAAAGACATATTGTCTCAACTCATTAAATAACACTCTGATTTATGCTCCTTCTATGAACGGTTAATATTTATAAAGCATTAATCTTAGTTATTCAATTCAACAGAATGTTAGTATGCAGCTGTGCGGTAATTATAAGAACAGTCCATGAAACACTTCATAACACCTGTGAAGCATCCTGTGCTGACGTGAATGTTGTGCTGATAGGAAAAACAGTGAGGCTCCTGCCTCACCATGATTAACCAAGACTTTGTGTTCTTCATGCATTCTCCTAATCCCTTAGTGACCAAAAATTTTCTTCAGTGGCTGGCTGCTGTGAATGCTAGCCATGATAATGCTGCATTGTCTGTATAAGAATGTAACCTACCTAACATTATGCGATCAAGGTGCATCCATTTTCCTAAAATTGCCTCAAGTTTATCCTTCTTTCTGGCAGAGCAGTACTCCATTGTGTATAAATACCAACTTTTCTTTATCCACTCATCTGTTGATAGGCACATAGGCTGCTTCCTATATTTAGCTATTATGAGTTTTGCTGCTATAAACTTGGGTACTTATGTGTCATGATGATATGGTGACTTTAACTCTTTCAGGAAGATAGCTAGAAAGGAATTTCCGGTTTTAGTTTTTTGAGGATTCTCCATACTGAATTCCCTTTTGGTTGTACTAGTTTACATCCCCACCAACAATGTAGAAGGATTCTTTTTCTCCTCACAGCCTTGCCAGCATTTGTTATCACATGGTTTCTCCTACCTGAGAAATCCAAACTGTAAATAGAGAGGAAAATAAAAGATAGATAACAGGAAATAAATAGATCTTTTGCAAAAGGGAAGCAGACTAACAGATGGAAAGAGGCGGGGAGGGGCAAGGAAGGGTTGGGAAAAGAATTACGATGCAGTATGTGCACATAAAACATAATGTAATCATTGTATACTGCAAATATGTACTAGTAAAACATAAATAAAGAACAGAACAACAAAAGATTTGAACCCAAAACTCTGGCCTCACCAATGCATTTCTAAACAAGATAATATTAATATAAGTCAACAAGGACATTATTCTGAGAAGTGTAGGAAAGTAAATCTGAAATTAAATGACTTAGATCCTGTCACAAATGACATCCCAGAAAAGAAACAATCAAGGAAAAAGAGACATGATTGTGACCTGCCATCATTATTTATGGGAAATATTGTTACTTAAGGTATTACTGATAGAAAAGCTATGATTACTTAAGCTATGGGAATTTGGAAGGCATTTTTTTTAATTAATGAAGTAAGGATGTGAATTGAAAAATATCAGATGTAATTTGCTAGAAATGATAAAATCTGATCTTTCAAGTGAAAATCAGAATTTGAAATTTTATATTTGCCATTAACAGTTTATAAATATTAATTAAATTATTAACAAATGTTTTTGAAGTTATGTAATGAAAAATGCACATATTTTGGAAGATTTATATACTGAGTGAATCAATATTTTTCACCTAATGAATGCATGAAGTTAAAATTCATGCATAAACAAATCACCTTTTCATTGAACAAGACTGAGCAATGGACTTAAATAGTACTGATCATACAAAATTTCATTGATACAGATTTAGATTCCAATTTCCCGGTTTTAGCACATCATCAGAGAATCTGAGCAATAGTCTGAGAAAAGTCAATAGAAGTTCTCCTTTTACAACTACTTATATATGAGAAGCCAGTGTTTGCTTATCTATTTCAACCAAAAAACATATGGTAACAGTTGAAATGCAGAAGGAGATATGAGAGTCCAGCTGTTTTCCATTGAAGGAGATAGAATAAAGACATTTGGAAAAATATAAAACAATGATATTATCTTCAAGTTTTGCTTTTTAAAATTATAGATATTTTTCACTAAAAATTTCTGTTACATTAACGTATTTTGTTACATTCTAAATGAATTCATATATATTTTAACTTTTTGTTTTTAATTTCTAACAAGTCAAATATTGAATTCTACAGTCCATACAAAAAACAAAACCTTTTTGGAGTGCTCAGTGTTTAAGTTTAGAAAGAGATCCTGATATCAAAAGGTTTTAGAATCATAGTTCTATATACTTATTTACTTCATAATATTATAATGTATTAAATTTACCTCATTTTCTAAAGTATTTGGAATGTTTGGCTGCATTGGTTCCATTTGGACTTCTGCCTGAACTGAGTGGAATACTTCATCATTGTCTGAGGATTCCTCACCTTCATCCTTTGAAACAAAAAATTAGTACAAATGTTTTAAATGTTATTAGAAGGCAAATGATAGGACCTACCAACTGCATCATCCTGATAATTTAAGTGTACTTTTCAAATATTAAAATTATTTAAATCAGTGGTTTGTAGTCAATGTTAGATCTGGATTCCTTTCAGAATCTGAAATGCCACAAATTGTCTATGGAAAACTGCATACAGACACACATATTTACATATATTTTCAGGGGGACTCATGAGTTCTTAAAGCTCATCTGTGGGTTCAAGATTAAGAATATCTGGCTTCATTAACTTATAACCCTGAATTAATTTGCACAGTTAGCAAGCTGGTACAACTCTGAAGTTTGGGCCTCTCAACAATGGAAGACCTGCAACACAGAGATGGAAATATTCCTCCCTAATTAAGCTTCAAGATTTTAGGAAATATTTTCTATTTTAAGCCAACCAAGTTATCTCTTCAAATGAAACAATGCAATAAAAATATGACTTTTTTTCTGCTGGTGACATGAAGAACATGTATATATTGCAAAATTCTAATAAAATTTCAAATATTTCAAAAGAACTAATTCTTTGATTCTATTATTAATAATTTTCTTTTACTTTTGCTTTCCTTAAGGACCACACATAAAGATATGTATATCTGAACAAGGACCAGTAGTCAAGGTATTGGTATTATTTATTGCCATTTTCTTATATTTTCAAATGGCTTCCCACATATATATTAAAAACTATGAATGCATTGCTATGCCAGAAACACTATGAGACTTTTGGGGATAAATAAGTCTTTTTCATAATAAAAAGCCCATTACAGTGAAATGACTAATAAGACTCATTGAGATTAGTAACTAGCATATCAGATGCCTCAATTTTCTGTAAATATGATCATTCCAGATTCATATCACCCCCCTTTTCCATCATTGGTTTTGTTCTCTTTATATTCTGAAAGTTAGGCATACATTCCTCATTTGAGGTCTTTCTTCTCTTGCTGTGTTAAACATGCCAAGGAATTAGAATTTGTTTAATAGCTCCAATGTGCCCAAACCTCAAAAATTCTTTATTTTTTAGTGAACAGCACAACTTCACTGAGAAAGAAATATATAAATTAATACATATGTAGATGATTTTAGATCCAAATTTTAACAGACTTCAGAAGTGCAAAGTATGAACTATTCGTTCTAATTCACCTAGCAATTTTCATAAATTAAGAATTAGATATATTTAGATTATTTAAAAAACAGAGAATAAATGCTTCCAAATGAATAAGCAAGTTTTACAAATTTTTTGTAATGAAATATGAAATCTCCTTCTTTTCAAAATGTATAAATATTGTCCATATTGTAGTAAAGAAAAATTTAGAAATAAACACCATGTGCTTGCTTTTTTCAGGGCAAGGTGAAGGAAGGGCAGCAGGACCTCATTTTACTAAGCACCTACCCCCGAGCTACATTTATCTAGATATTGATACAAGGTTCTTTTTTAGTTACTAAGACATATATTATTCACAGTTGTGGATAATACGATTCAGTTAATGGTCATGACAATGATTCTATTACAGAAATGCATGCCAAAGAGTATAAGAAAACAATGCTCTGTTAATCTTGTATAATCTCAGTAAATTGCTTATCAGACTCACAAACTTCATTATCAGGTTAGAGTTGCCAGATTAAATCAAGAACTACAGTGAAATTATACATACTTACATTAGAAGGTTTTGAAAGAAAGAAGTTTTATATTTTTTTTTTTAGTTTTATTATTCTTAAATAAGATGGAAATTAATGCATTTTATTCTGCATTTCTAAAGAGTGCACAGAACTACTTGGAACTCTTTCATGGTGTGTGCAGCCCTGTCATGAATTGTGGAAGAAGAGTAGCCAGTTAGTGAGATAATTCATAATTATGGTAAACGTATAAAAAATAGTTTGGAAGCAGATGTTCCTTTTCATAACACTGGCTTAAACATCTTTTCATATTACTACAAAAATTAGTGTAATTCACACAAATGGTGCAGTCCAATATTCTATAGCAAGAAAGAACTAATTAACTTACAGGTTAGAGGAATAAAAACTGAAGTATATTTAAAATATTACATTATTAAAATAATATTTAAAGATCCAAAATAATAATTATAGCAGTGCCTATGTAGTCACTCTATTAGTTAAGGTTATAATAGTTAGAAAACTAATAATTAAAACTATATTTCTATCGATATATATTAAGCAATTACCTAGATAATCCAATTATTCTTACATTTCACTACAGTTACCTGGAGTTTTCGGGATAACTCATTTGAAGCACATATTGTTTAGTAAACCTTCTCTAGAACACAAGGAATGTTCATTTTATTTGCTTTCACAGGTGCATGCTTGTAGTAGGTCATGAATACATTCACTGTGGCATGCGGTGCGTGTACATGCTGCTTCACCTTTCCTTTTCATCTCCTTACACCCCCACCTCCTCTATCTCCTTCTCATTTGTCAAAGGTCTATCTCCTTATTCCCTATTGTCTTTTATTTTGCTCTTTGACTTATCTAGACTTTGTTTTTCTCATGTAAGAGAAACCATACAATTTTAAAATTTTTGTGTTTGATTTATTCCACTTAACATTAGGTTTTACAGAGGAAAAATATAGTCACGAACTAGCACGTTTCCCCTGCTTGTTGGACTGAAAAAAATATCAAAATTCTTACATTTTGAAATTGTCTCAAATCCTCTTCACGCTGGTGAAAGCTGCCTTCCTCTCTCTGGTGAAAGTTGCCTTCCTGTCTCTGGTTAAAGCTGCCTTCCTGTCTGCATCGGCGCCTGTGCCTCAGGGCTTCTAAATATGAGTTTTCAAGCCCTTCAAGGGATGACTTTGCCCTGAACCTCTTCGCTGACAATCTTTTTGCAAGTGCTTTTCTTAGACTAGAAACCTTGGATTTTTTTTTCCCTGACTGTTCTGGTTGAGTGTAAAACGCATTTGATGACAGGTTTTCCATCAGGGTTTGCAGTAGACCAAGTGGCTTTGAGTTATGCGAGTCTGGTGCTCGAAGCAGGTCGTTTGACAATCCATCTATCAGTGCTTGAATTGAGTTAACAGCCTGTGAGGGCTCTAGTGTCCAGTTGTGTGCCTGAGATGACCCTTCCATTGGCCCTCCTACTGGAATGAGCTCCTGAGTATCCAAATGTAGTGGCAACAGCACATGGTGGCTCTGTGACAGTAGGGGCAGGAATACCTGGGCGTGTACCCTTAATGGCTCAGGTTCTTCTGCCTCAGTCTCTCCTTGTGCATCCTCAGCAGCCTCTTCCTGTACCTCTTGGTGATCAGGTTCCTCGTTCTGCTCCGGATCCTGTTCAGGAGCCTGGTTCTGTCTCGGCTGTTGTTCAGCAGCCTGACCTTGTCCTTGTGCTTGTTCAGGCATCTGATCTTGTCCTTGAAGTTCCTCTGGCACCTGGTCCAGGTCTTGAGGTTGTTTGAGTTCCTGGGTTAGTGACTGGGCCTGAGGCTGCTGCATTTCAGGTAATGGGGTCTGTGTCTGTAGAGGCCTATCTATCTTACCCTGAGACTGTAGTGGCGTGAGCACCCGGGCTGCCCTCTGTAGGCGAGGAGAGGCCTTAATCTGCATGTGCAGAGGCCTAGATGCCTTAGCCTTAACCTGAGCCTGTAGTGGCATGAACACCTGAGCTGCCCCATGCTGAGGTGCCTGTGCTTGCCCTTGTAGAGGCCTATGTACATTGTCCTGAGCCTGTAGTGGCATGCACACCCTAGCTGCTCCATGGAGGTGCTGAAGTGCCTGGACCTGTGGCTCTTCTTGATCGGGTAACCACCTTGGCTGAGAGGGCTCTCCATGCAGCACTCTAAGTGGTCTGCATCGGCTGCTTGTTGGCAATCTCAGAAGCTCATGAGTGCAAGAGGGTCCTCTGAAATAAACATACAAATTAGAATTTTCAGTAGACTGGAGCCATTCAGGGGAATTGCTTTTATTTTAAAGGAGACATTTTCTGTCAAATGATATTTTCAGGAAGTCTTTTTGGAACAATTCCCATAATGTCAGAAATTTCTTGGAGGTAATACTGGCAATGTCAATGTATTAAATTATTAAGGGAATCTAAGAATTTGTTGATCGTTCTACTGTCACATACTAAGGAGGCTTTGAGTAGTAATAAAACATCTCCAAGTCAATATGTCATGGAAACAGAGGTCTGCTATTTGGTACTTCAGAAAGGATTAAGTTATTTGGGGGCCAAAGGTAACTGTATGGAATCAAGTGCATCCTGGCAATTGCGATCATCAAACTATAATTTGATTTGTCTAACGCACCTGAATCTTCTCATGACATACTGCTCCTTAATTGCTTCTCTTTCAAAGACCGGAGGTGTACCTTTTCACAAAAGAGATACATAATCCATAAATATTAAGCAGAGTTACACATAATCTACCTTAGTTGTTTTGCACCTGAAAGTAGCAAGATAACATCCCTTCGAACATGTGCTTGGGTTCAAACAAACTATATTCTGGGTTCACTTTTGCAGCTATTGCAAGCAGATAAATTTATCTGGGATCAGGAAAGAAAACTCAGCAAACCAATTACTGGTAGAGAAAGAACAGCGAATGGGAAAAAGGAAAAATGGATTAAGAGAAACTCCAGATGTTTGGTGGGCATGGCTTACAGATGTAAGCTATGTATGTAAAGACTTTATGACTTGGGATTGATCTTTGATCTTTTTAAGAAGGTAAAATTTTAATTCTTGATTTTCCACCTCATATATTTTAAAACATTCAGCTTCTTTCTTTCTATGCTATAACTATTGACAAGTAGACGTTTACAAACAGGAGTTGTCTTTTGAATTTCCTACATTAAAATGTTTAGGACAAGTATATTTATATCTCCCGTGTAACCACCATATAAATCAGACAGTTTGTGGTAACATTCTGGCAATCTTGCATTGCTGGTTATCAGTCAATTACTAAGTAGCTATGTGGTTTTCCTGCAGCCATTTGAGACTGCTTGGCTTCTGTGATGTTGGTTCAATTACTTCATTGTCAAAGGTATATAAATTACTCTAGCTTCTCTTCTCTTGAAAACAGGATGCATATAGTTATGCAGATGTGCCAAGCACCACTGCACTGCAGTAAATCCTGCAGCTGATTTACGATGCTTGCTATGTGTCTAAAGTCCACCATCTCCATTCCACTGTTACTCTGGACCCCATGCATGATACATGAAATTAAATGGATTATATGTCACAAATCATAAAATCAGATTCCTAAGTAGTTTCCACTACATGTCATGACAATCTGTCCTGTCAGTTTAACCATTAATAGATAGAAACTCATTTCTAGGGCTGGGGATTTAGCTCAGCGGCAAAAGCGCCTGCCTGGCAAGCGCAAGGTCGTGAGTTCGGTTCCTGGTACCGGAGAAACCCCCCCCCCCAAAAAAAGAAACTCATTTCTATTTATATAAATTAGTTCCTTTAATTATATCTCACAGTTGGGGGTTAGTATGTAAAATGAAGCTTTGTATGAACAGACACTATGCCAAAATTAAAAGTTAATAAATGGTTAATTACAAATCAACTTTTCTCCATAGGGTCAACTAAAGTATTTTTAGGGAGGAGTTAACTTGCCACATCACAAAATTTTATTTAGGGCTTTCAACTTCTTTGTACATGTAAATACTTGCCAAATATAACTAGCTATAATGAATAACCTCATATCGAACTGCACAAGCAAGAAGCAACTGAATGAAAGAACAAATTATTAGAAAAACTAGATGCAAAAATGCCTCAGAAATTTTACTTTTAACCTAATTCTTAAAAATATTGCCCTTGATTTTTTGGGTTTTTTTTCCTTTTCCCTTCTTTCTTTTTACCTTGTCCCCACCCTAGTTCCTCTTTCCTTTTGAATGTACCAATAAACTTAATTTTAAAAATTTTCCTTGAACACAATAAATGAACAAATTCTACTTTCATTTAAATATTCATCCCATTGTCTGTCTGTTAATGTTTTCTTCCTTTTATTTTTAAAATAAAAAAAATTTAAAAAAACAAATGTTCCACTTTGGAGGGGAATATTAAAATTATGCACATGGGAGGGCAGAGAGTACTATGGGGATTTTCTGTACCTACCTCTCAATTTGATGAACTTCAAACTGTTAAAAAATGTTTTCAAAGTACATTTAACATGATTAATGACAATAAAGAATGTAAAATGTAAGAAAATATATAGAAACTAGGAGAAATGAATTACACAGAGGTATAAGGTGTTAAAAATATGTTCATTGCATTTTAAAACTCAATTAAAAATTAAGTAAATAAATATTCATCTCAGTGAAATGAAGCTTCTCAAATTCTACCTTTTTTCTGTCGTTTTTTAATGATTCCTTTAAGATGTTTTGTTAACGACTGAACAACATGTTTTTCATTTTTTATATTCCGAACAAATGGGTGAAGAAGCATGTTTGCAGATGTAGGACGAAACAGGAAGTTCTTTATCATGCACTTTTCCGTGAAATTGTGGAACTTTCGGGACCTAAAAGAAATGAATCAAATAGATAAAACAACCTCCTCCAGCCTGCCACATATCTTCTCTCCCTACCCACATGCCACTCTGAAGGTCATATTTTTAGAAAGAGTTGTCTCTAGATATAATTGTCTTTTCAATTAGCAAATATCCTGCAACTTCCTGACATTCATTATAAAGTGAGGCTATTTTTTAAAGAACCCAGCATCAACAGCATTTTACCCAGAGAGTAATAGAAATGTCAATCAGCTCAGAAGCACGTACATGCTAAAAACTCACGTGCTGATTTTACAGTTAAGTGGTTTAGTATAACATAGGGTAGTTTGTGAGAGTAGTTTGGCTGTTTTGCAACAGTCGTTTACTGAAGCCTGCATATTTCACTTACTATATTCAGTTTTAGCTATAGAGGAATGAATGTAATGACTCAAGAACTAGGTATTAACTAACAAGGATTAGCTAATCTTACAAAGTGACTCATGGAAACAGATGTGACCCAAAATCCTTAATTTATTGAAAGAGTTAATTTGAACAATAAAGAAATTCAACAGTCATAATCATTTCTACTAGTGCAAGCAATACATACTAAGAATAATGCATGAGTTGAATTTCCTAGATCTACAAGCTTTAGAGCAAAGAAGTACCATGTTTTCTAATGCATAGCAACCTGGAGGAACAAATACTCTGTTGTAGGTCTATGGATGTTTAGTATAATGAGACAACCAATAGTATTATATCGAATAATTAATGGCAGCCTATGTAGGCACAGTGAAAAACGTTACAAAGTGTTGCCCCTGCTCCATCTCTTTACCACGGAAACAACTGAAAATGCCCACTAAGGACTGGACAGTGATACTGTAGTCATATACTATGGAAGATGTTATTTAATTTTGGTTGGCTAACTACCTCTTAATGAAAACTGGTCATTTAGACTGTCGAGTTAAGACATTGGGTGTTAGGAAATGTTCTTCAACAAGGATGGTGAAAGAGGACCAACCAACAGAATGAAGATTTTGATACATAAAAATGTTACATCAATGTGCTTAGAAAATTGAGACATTTATCTTTACCATCCACTGGATTTGACTGTAGGAGCAGATTCCCTTAAAATAACGAAGAGAGCTTCCAAGGGCTGAAGGTTACACAGAGCTGCAAAGGAAAATAGATACATTTAGAGAGAAGGAAATGACTAATTACAGAATGTACTTCGCATTCTACAGGGAATATATTTCAGTGTTCTTTCGCATATCCTGACAAATGACTCTAAGAGATGAATAGATAAAAAAGAATATAGCTAAAGGGAAAACTCATTTTAAGATAAACATTGCATCATATAAAATTTTAAAGCTTTGCCATCACCAAGTATAACAAATCAGTAATAAATTAAAGTAGAGTGTATTTTTGAAATGTGTGGTTGATGAATTATATTAGGAAATTTAATCAAAAGTAGACAAAAGTGCTCTCTCTCTCTCTCTCTCTCTCTCTCTCTCTCTCTCTCTCTCTCTCTCTCCCTCTTCCCTTCCTTCCTCGCTCTCTTTTACTCTCATTTGAGAAGTTGGAGAAGCACCACCAGAAGCAGTAGCTGCTCTATTCCTCAACCTAACATAATTAAAGCATGTTTTCTAGACAAAAATAGTCAGAAGATAGGCTTTTTATCCCCCTAGTCTTATCTCAAGACTGCTTTCTACATCTGTTCTAACTTTCTTTCAAATCTTGCTTGGTATTCCAAGGGACACCAGAAACTGGCAACAATTATATTACCACTCTGTGTAGTTCTTGAAATTCTTCCCTTTGACCTTGCAATCCAAAGCTAAGATAGTTGAAGTGTGCAAAGTATGTTTGGTGGATGTTATGAGGACAGAGCATACAGGAACATGGGAGCATACAGGATATTTGGAGAAAGGGAAACAAAGAAGTTCCCACACACGATCCCTAAAGGCATTTCTCTCATTTCTCACACAACTTACCAGCAATTCATTATCATTTATAACTTGAGAAGTAAATATTGAGAACAGCAAATGTGACCTAGAGTCATACATTATATGGATATCAATCATGTTTACCAATGTTCCCACTCCATTTTCACTTTCCTACCAGAAAGCTGTGCTTTAAGAGAACAGCATGTTGCTTGGTCATTTGAATGATAAGGAAGTGGTGAATACAACAGAAAGTAGAGAGTAAAGAAGGGACCAAGAGTGAGATGGAGTGACTGCAAAAGAAAAACCAATACCAAACAATGCTTAATACCCAACATTGCTTAGGACTAACTCAATTTAAATGAACCACTGGAGGATTTTTGTTTTCCTTCTAAGCCAGAAGCAGTACTAGTGTGTGACTATACATTTTCTGAAACCTAAATTTTCCACTGGTTCATATAGATTGAAACACTTTAGATTCCAGTTGCTCGAGAATAGCAAGTCCTAGCACTACTGAGGCTAAATTGAAATAACACTTAGCCTAACATAAGCTATCATAAGAAAAAAGAGCACAAGATGTTTTTATATATCCAAATCTGGCAATTTGTTTTTTGGGTTTTTTTGAAACAGGGTTTCGCATATACGGCTCAGGGAGGCCTCAAGCTCAAAGCAACACCTCATTCTTGGATTATAGGAATATGTCTGGTTTAAATATGGCAATTCCAACAAAAGCATTTGCTTAACACCAAAACGGTAAGTCACCATCTACAGTCTTGCACATAGTGTGACACTTCTGTGGCCAGTAAAACCTGACTCGTTAAAACTGTTATATGATTTTCTTCATATCAGAAGACTGATTTATGTGTACCTTTACTTAACCTTTAACAAATGCCAAATATTTTTACTCACGAGGAGCCCCTTCGGCCATTTCGATAGCAGTGATTCCCACGGACCACACATCACTCTGCAAAGGAAAAGATGGCCAAAAACAGGTCACTTAAAAGTGGGAGACTGTTGCTATTAAGAAACTCAAAAAAATTTTTGGTTGGCAATAGGGAAATCAATGCCAGAGCCAATTCATATGTCCTCTGTAAGGAAGATTCATTAAATATTGACATTGTAAGAAGATACTCTCTGATCTTGTGACCATCCAGTACCCCACTCCATAACAACCCCAATACGAGTTGTTATGGAATGAAGTTCAGTACAAGGAAAGTTGGCTTCAGATGTGCTGTTATTGTTTTCTTACCTAAAATATCAAAGGGAATTTGCCATAAAGAAGTTTTAATACATAGAATCACAACCACCGTGATCTTGAGCAAATGATTTAACTCTCGATACTTCAATTTCACACTATGAAAAAATGCTGATTATAATAGCAGCCACTTCCTTGAAATGGTGTGCAATTGTGTGCATGCATGCACCAACTTGATATACAAAATACATTGTATATTTATATTAAGTATATAATTATATATTTAAAGATTTATATATCAAATAATACATGAATTATCATATATTATATTACATATAAAAACTAGCATGTGCTAGCCAGTATATTTATACATATAAACATAAATATTTTACTAGTTTCTCGAATATCATAAATAAATACTAGAATTACGGAGATCTTGGATTTATCCTCACCACTATTAACTATATTTTGTTTTTCAGAGCATGGAAAGGGCATATTGTTAGAGATACACTGGTTGGATGACTACTGAACAGAATAAATAGAATTTTTGGAAGCCCCCTTTACAGATATGTTCAGTTTTGTTATAGTCTAAGCTTAGGCTTTCCTTTGGATATATGGGGCTAAAAAATTAAAATAAATAACTAATACCGATGAAAGTCCTTGGAAGAGAGCAAAATATATACAGGAATAAAGTACAACTTTTAACAGCAAGCCATTTGAAGAACTGGATGGTTCTTTACCCTCCACAGGTCCTAATATAGCAGTGAGCATGCAATCAGCTCTCAGTAATAATTACTTTGCAGGTCAAGCAGAGGACATTTAAGAAAATGGAAAAGAGATGAAATCTAAATTAATCAACTTCAAGTATTGAGTATTAGGTTCCATACAGGAGACCACAACAAATTGTTCAGATGACGTGTGATGTGGAGAGTGACTGAGGATTTTCCAGTCTATAGCAAATGCAGAGTTTTCTTTATTTTCACATCAGATTTCTAAAAATGCACATAAAGATGCATATTGTCCATATTGCAGCTTCAGTGGAAATTTTAGTAAACAGCATGAATTTTACTTAATTTGTCTATTCCACTGATTTTCTTGTGGTTTTAGAAATGAACTATGCACTAAGGATTTTCTCCATTACCATGAATAATCAAATTGGTTTTTTTTCTTTTTGGAGCTAAGTTATTATGGGGATTAATGATTGGCTTTACATTTATGCATTTTTGAGTTTCTAAAACCCGCAGAAGTTAATTTACCATAAAAAACCACATAATATATTATTTTTCCAAGAAGTTACAAGCCAGTTTATCTCCCAAAAATTCCTCATGGTTTACTTTGTCTATATTCTTATAACATATTATTTTTATACATACTATCAAAACACATCCAGGAATAGAAGAGTGAGTATGAAAAGAAGTGATATTTGTTTTTTATTCTTTTATTTGATCAGGAAAAAGAAATGTTAGTCAAAAATCCTCCCAAAATTTTGATTCCTTCTGTTTGAATGCTCACACTCACTCTGTAATCATAGGAGTGTCTTGGGTCTTCATCACAGTTAATCACCTCTGGTGCCATCCAGTATGGTGTCCCAATGAAGCTATTCCTCCTTCCATTAGCTCTGCTCACCTGGGCACTCACTCCAAAATCCACTGCAAATTTCAGCATATGCCAAAATAATTATTGAAGAATAAATAGCTCAATACATTATTGCTTTAACTTGGAAAGTCAATGCAAAATATCACAATGGATAACAGATTGTTCATTCCAGAGAAAATTCATTTCATTGCCAGCCCAGAAAACTTTATCATGAAGTCTACTCCAGGAATACTGGGATAGAAGTATTTGCTGATGTTTTTGTTGGCCTGAGTCTCCATAGTCCCACTATCTGCAGTAGCTTTGGTGAAATATTTACCATGAATATAAAAAATACAGTTCCACTGGTATACTCTGAATCTTTGACGTGATAACCTACACAGTGTTTTTAACTGCCACCAAGCTGGAAGAAGGACGGCACTCTAAGCAATATCTCAGAAGAGTAAGACCTATTAGCAGTTGGCTTGGAAACGTCACTCATGAAATCCGAAACTACTACCACACTTATAAAGAAAAATGACTTTTCCGTTCGAATTTAGTTTAAATTCTTACACTCATCTTCTGAATTAGATGCAAATATTTACCATGGTCTCTGTACTTTAGCTTAGAGTATAATGATTCAGTCCTCTAAGCATCTGTGTGATACTTTATAAGAAAAGACTTAGTATGGTATCCTTAGAAACACACAGAAAAATGGGTAATGTAGACTGAGGTTATTTATTCCAGAAAAAATAAGACAGAGATAAAAATCAGGTAGATTTTTTAATTGAGAATGGTTTCCACTAATCCAGAGGATGATGAGCAAAACTGACTGAAAAGCCGTGTAAAGAATGTAAGAGATGAAAAGAAAAAACAAAAACATAGTATTTTAAAGCAGTCTGTAATAAAAGGTCTAATTCTAACAAAAAATGTCCAAAGTATTTTAAAGTATTATGAAGATCTCTATTGGTTGTTGCATAGTCTCATTAACAAAACTAACTTTCTTTCTTTCGTTCTTTCTTTTTCTTCACAAAAAGTTAAATCCGCATTCCAACTAGCCCTAACTGTGAATTTTGAGGACCAAGAAATACCTATGAAGCTCAGAAGCTTCATATAGGAAAGAATATGAAAGGAGAAAATACTAGAAGAAACAATAATGAACAGAAAAAGTAGGAGAAAAGAAAGAAAAAGAAAAGCTGAATTTAAGATAAAAGATGGAGTTGAAACTTCAATGATGGCCTAATTTAACCTTTAATAACCTTTGAGAGTAGAAAAATGAATATTTGATCAATTATACCTGCCACATAAAATTTTTCCTGTCCTTTTTCTTACTGTCATTTCCTTTAGCTATCATTAGTTTTGCCTTCTGCAAGCTTCTCATGACGTTGTTTAAAAATATCCTATGATCAGGATTGGGGTGTAGCTCAGTGGTACAATACTTGCCTAGCATGTACAAGGCCCTGGCTTCAATCTCCAGCACTGCAAGAAAAAATATCAACCTAGGATTTGAGAAATCTAAATACATTCTATAAAGGTTATATGTAAAATAATCTAAATTAAATTCTAATCCATCTCTCAAAGGTCACCCTCAGTGTAAAATACATGATCTTTGATGCAAGGACTTTATGACAGATATTTTAGTGGCTTTTTACTTACTTATAAGTTCTGTTCTGTGTTTCAAATGGGTAAGCAGCCAGCAAATTGATCAAAGCATAGTGTTGCACTTTACATATACTAATGGTTTAAATAGCCTTTATGTGGACTACCTACTCAGCAAATTAGAAATCTATACACCTCTTATGTTTTAATTCAGATTCATAAAATTGTGTTATAAGGATTGTAACTTTTAGATATAAAAGAAATAGTATATTTTCTTGAAACTCATTTATTTCAAGAAAAGTTACTATTGCTTACTTATTTCACAAACGTTCAACAAAAAATAGTCTGAGTGAATGATTAAAATCTCTAGTTCTACTAGTTGATCAAAATGGGAGAAATTTCCTGAGTTTATGTTAAAAGACATGTTAAACATACTTGATATAATGAAAAATAATACAGATGATTAAATGATTTTTGTTCTGATCAATTAGGTTTTCTGTCATTACACAGCACTGACATAATTTTATGGTTTACTGAAAAAAACCATTGGAATATATATATATATGTATATATATATATTGTGTGAATCTATATGTATATGTATAGCCAACATCAAAAGTTGCAAAATATTATTCCCTGTGCAAGTGACAGAAAATGTGTGTGTTTTAATAAATTATACCTCTCTATACCCTCTCTGTACCCTAGAATATAAATCTACAGGTTTTATGCATTTTTTGATTTTTATTTGTGAATTTAATTTGGATATAATCAAAGCAATTTGTGTTCAAGTAATTTAAAATTCTTTGATATACTTGGAAAAATAGAATGTGGATATAGAAAGAAATTTTGAAAATCCCTGTTTATAATATATAAATTTCCACATGGTAAATACTGAACTTACTGAAATAAATATAATAACTATCTATAATAGAGGGTAAAGAAATGACCAAAAAATAATACTGTTCTTTGACCCATTCATCTGGTTTCAGTCTGGTACTTAACTTTATAAGGTCTTATAAGAAAAATAAATAAATTTGCTGCTGAAAAAATTGAATAGGGTTTCAGAGTGGGGAGATGGGAATTTAAATGGGCTATGCACATATTCCAATCCTCTACAATGAATGCAATCATGTTCTGGAAACATGCAATACTAAAAGCAAAAGAAAAAACATTTGTTTTATCTACATAACTTTAAAGAACTGGCTAGCTGCACCCTTTCTGTGTTGCCATAACTCCCTTCATAAACAAATTTTAAGTTTTGGATTAGTTCTGCAGGTAGAGAAGACCCAGGTCAAATAAGTAGAGGATATTGGAAGAAGACATGAAAGAAAGCAGTTATATTAACGGAGTTTTCTTGATTAAAATGTTTTGCGCCTCACCTAACATACTGCAAAAATATACTTACCCAGTTTTACTTCAGCATTGTGAGTCAGTAGCACATTCTGGCCTTTGATATCCCGGTGAATTACTCGGTGTTCATGAAGGTGAGCTAAACCCTGTGTGTATATGAGAAAAAGATCCCATCAGTATATATTGTTCCCTTTTCTGGTACTACTCTGTATTTTTGGGAAAATATTTGGTAAGAAATGACTCAGCTTTGATTTTTCAGACATAATTCTTTCTTTAGGCTGGAGTTACTACAACAATTTCCCAGAAATTCTACTTTTGGCCATAAGGAAAAGAAAATAAACCAAGACATCAATGAAAGAACAGAACACTATAAAATAATGTGTGTATACATTGGGCCACTTTACTTTCCTTTTTACCCTCCATATTTCCAACTAACCATAAGAGTAAAGAAATGCACATCTTGACCATATCATAGCTCAGACATAATTTTTCTCTATTTTTCATCTTCATCCAACTATTCGTGTAGTCAAAAATATTTTCAGTCAGCCTTGTAGGCTGAGTATTTGAGGGAATATGGAAATTCATTTTAAAACATTTACAATTTGTTTTGGCTTACCCTGCTGGCTCCAGTCCATTCACCACTAAAACTAACATGACCTGGCTAAACAATGACATTAGGCTGCTATGAGTTTGCTCTAGATATTAATGGGGAATTAATAATAGAAGTAATAATAAAAACAACTAAAATTTGTTTAGCCCTTATTCTTTGCTAGATATTTTGCTAAATGCTTTGCATGGAGTAAATTATTACATCTTCACAGTAACCCTTTGCCGAAGATGTTAGTAACTATTATCTTATATACACAAGAGAAAAGTGAGACAGGAGAAATTAAACAGCTGACTCAAGGCCACATGGCTAATACACGGTAAAATAGTTTAAACTCAGTGTATAGTGCACACTCTTAGCCATTCATATTATTGTCACAGATAAGTCTAATTGAAAGAGAGGAATGATATTGTAACAATATTAAATGGTGCCACTCATGGCTGTTAATGCTGTCCCTGGGTGATTTTAAGCATTTTAGCCACAAATAGAAAACTAAGTTTGGTAGGGTGAAAATGTTCTTGCTGTCATGAAATTAGGCAGTAGAAATTTTTAAAAAATAATATATAATATATATTATGTATCATATTATACATCATTATATATAATATATTACATTATGTATTCCATTCAAAGAAGATATCTGTCTAAAAAGACTATAGGTAGTTCGAATCCTTCTATAGAACAGTGACTTCTCCTAACTGGCCTTTGTCTTCATTTATAATCATAGTGCTACAGTTTTTAAAACATGAACTCTAGTGTGGGGATACTGCTGCAATAGTAGAGCACTCGCCTATCGTAAGTGAAGCCTGTTGTTCAATCACCAACACCAAAGAAAAAAGGGGAAAAAACACTAGAAAACAAGAAAGAACTATAAGTCCTAAAAATATAATAATTCAAGATCTGTGATCCACTGAACAGAATAGTTTGAAACTGACAGCCATTAAAGGCTATGAGTTGGAAGAACCTGGTTACACATGTTGTTGTCCAACATAAAATTGAAGGACATCAATTCAATATTTAACTTTCATCAAGCTTTCTGGTTGTTTTTAATTTCTCTGATCCAAAAGTTATGTTTAGAATTCTTTTCTTTCTCTCTCTCTCTCTGTCTCTCTCTGTCTGTCTCTCTCCCTCCCTCTCTCTCTTCTTTCTTTCTTTCTTTCTTTCTTTCTTTCTTTCTTTCTTTCTTTCTTTCTTTCTTTCTTTCTTTCCCTCCTTCCTTCCTTGCTTCCTTCCTTCCTTCCTTTTTGTTTTCTTTCTTTTGCTCTTTCTCTCTTTCCTTTCTTCCCTCCCTCCCACCTTTCTTTCTTTCTTTCTTTCTTTGTTTCTTTCTTTGTTTCTTTCTTTCTCTTTCTTTCTTTCTTTCTTTCTTTCTTTCTTTCTTTCTTTCTTTCTTTCTTCTTTCTTCTTTCTTCTTTCTTCTTTCTTCTTTCTTTCTCTCTCTTTTTACTTTGTAATGGGAATTAAACCGAGTTACTTTCCCAGTCCTTTTCCTTATTTTGAAACAACAGTCTTGCTAAATCACTCAGATTGAATTCAAATTTACAATCCTCCTACGCCTTAGCCTCCTAAGTAGCTGGGACTACAGGTGTGCACTGGCACTAAAATTCTAAAGCAATAGTATGTGCGATAGAGATTACATCCTCCTAGGTTCTTTCAAGACCAGAGAATGATCACATGAAAACTCACCTGAAGGATTTCTCGGCAGATATAAGCAATCCAATCTTCTTTTAAACTCTGACTTCTAGTCATTCTCACAACATCAGTGACTGAACCTGCTGCACATAACTCCATCACCATCTGAGGGGAAGTCATCAAAATTATAAAGAATTAGAAAGTGGCATTTTGAAAATATCTAGAGAATTTTAGCCTGTATGGCTTGAATTTATATGTAAAGGTTAGAAATGGAAGCAATGCAAAGACTGACTCAGTTGTCTTGGAGGTCTCTAAAGGCTAGGGAAGTTAGAATCTGTGGAGCAGGAAAGTCAGGTACCACATCAGGGATACTTAACCAGGAGGAAGGATTTTGACCTAAGCCTTGAATTATAGATAGTGTTTGGATATGCTTGGAAGGAAGAACATTCAGTTTATGGAAAACACAATGAACAAATGCCCTCAGAAGGAAGCTGAGGGGATAAGCGTGAGTGATCACTAGGGTGGGAAGAAAGGACTAGTCGAGGCAACAGATTGATTTAAAGTGAAATAGTACTATATGTAGAGTTTAGAAAAGGTACACTTGAATGTCAGCAGTATGTATGATTTTCATTGTTTTGTTTATTTTCAAACTCTGTATTATTTTCTCCCAAATTCTGATAAACTGCAAACCCAAGGGGAATTTGTCAATTGACTTCTTTTAGGATAATTTATTTCAAATGGAATTAATGCTAAGGAAGTTTATTTATAATCGTTTTGACAGTATTTCAATCTGATTTTACTGTTAATAAACTCAATATCTCAGGAAAAATACTTTTGTCACCAATGAGATGAATGCCCAAATCGCAAATTTCCTTCAAAATAAGATTAGTTAAGTTGAGAGGATAGACCAATATAAACAAGAATATAACTATTATAATTAACCAACCAAACTTAGAAGTGCAGGTTTGTGCCTCATTACTCATGCTAAAACCAGTCAATGAAATGTATAAATTACATCTTTTATCTATAGCCAAGCTAACTGTCACTATAGTTGAATGAAAGCACAACAATGAACTCAAAACTGTCATTATTCAAAAAGTCGATATTATTTCCTTTTGGAATATCAATATTTTCTTTCAAAAAAGCTACTCCTTACTTTGTAATTGTTCACCACTCACAATATTGAATGTCTTTGAACTGTGTATACTGTCATCAAAAGAAGAAAGAACGCAGCCAAATGAAATCAATAGTACAGATGAACTGTGGAAGGTAGATTTTCATGTGGGGGATTAAGTACTGACTATTGGATGGGAACAATATATACACTGTGGTAATGGAAGTAAATGGATTCATTTTGAAGTATCATTAGTCTTAATACCATTCAACTTAAACAGACCCTGAAAGATCTTGTTGATATTATCTAAATCAGAAGTGCTCAATTATAAAAAGAAGAGGAAGCATTTGCCAAGATTTCCTTAGCTTTGTAAGCATAGTGCCTGAAGCAATACTTTATGAATGGTAAATATTTAGCTATTTACATACTTCCTAATTGCTTTTCTTCTGGTTTACATGCACAAAGTGTAAAGAGTCTATGACCTATGGAAATTCTGAGCTCCACAATTAATTTATGCATTAAGTACCTGCTCATCCTTCAGATCTCAGTTTAAGCTTTTGTTTCCTTAAGGAAGAGTTTTTCATTCCCCAGTTTAAATTTAGTTTCTTTTGTTATCCACTCACATAAAAACATTTTGTATTCCTTCTGACATTCATTTGTGCATTTGATTAATATTGGTCTTTGCGAATAGACTGTAAGCTCCAATGAGCCAGGGGCATATCTATTCAGCTTACTGTTGTGTATCCCCAGAATCTAGTAGAATGCTTGACAAATAGATGGTTTTCAATGAATGCATGTTGAATGACTGAATGAATTGAGTACTAATAGTACGTATCCCATAAGGAGACTGTAACATTTTTCATAGTTTGCCATACTATGAAAAGGAATAAACTTGTAAGTAAAGATATATGAAAAAAACACAGGTTCTATGTGCAAAATAACCTAAAACCAGTAACCATTTCAATTGTGCAGCAATATTTAAGATAATTTTAATTGAAATTGCCAGACAATAGATGAATCAACATAACTGGACATTTCAGAGAAAATTGGGTTTAACTTAAGATCTCTAAATTTGGTGGTTCTCAGATTGTTATGCTCATATCAGCAACATCAGTATTACCTGTGAACTTACTAAGAAGTATACATTTCACACACATCCCAGAGCTACTGAATCAAAACTTCTGTGAGTAGGGTCCACTCGGCTTTATAAAGCTCCCCAGAAGATTCTGATGTCTTCCATGAGCTGAAAAAATCACTGTTTCAATTCAACCCCTTGTTGCAAAGCTTTCTGTAGTGTCCACTGCCCTACCTGCTCACATCCATATACGGAATATAACAGAATCTTTTATCCACACTTGAAGATCCTGAAAAGTTCATTTGCTATTTTGAAAAGAAATATTACTACTGACTTGGACAGGAAAGGAAAATGTATTAAAGATATACATTACCCATACAGTGACTCCAGTTTATATTCTAAATATTATACTTTTTGGAAGAGCATTCCTAACCAAAGCTCATTATCTATAATGAACTAATATAAGGCAGAAAAATATCTGGTAACTGTGGCTTAGTTAGCCTAATATCTGATTAGCCTCCAAAATTTATATTTCATTGGTTCGGATTTTGTGGTACTCCAGCCATGATAACTAAGAAAATGATAAGTCAATTAACTACCTATAAAAGAATTCCTAGGAGTTATGTTTCACATAGGTGCATAAACTTTGAAATTGCTTAACATGTACCCGCATGCTCATGTTGAATACTAATTAGAATTGTTTATTATGCAGTCTTTATTTGCTAAGCTATCAGGCAGCCTCCATTCCAGTAAAACAGTGACTACTTTCAGTTAAAGGTGGCTGAGCTATATTAGAAAATATGTGTGTTACATGTTGCCAGTATTCACTTGAGTCCTCCCCATCCCACCAATAAACCACTTGCTAGACATGTAAGTTATTTTTCTTTATTTCTTCACTCTCAACTCTAGGAATTAGAGCACATATTTCCATTACTACCTTGAGCAATTGAGTGAAGAAGTGTTCCAGTAGGTGCACAAAAGTCTCATATCAACTTATATGAAAGTATATCTTTGGATAAAACTTTTTTATTGTATAATGTCAAGATAATTAAAAACATACCCAAAGTTGGTGCCTGTGTCCAGGGGGACTCAGCTTGAAAAATGCACCATAGAAAGACACAATGTTTTTGTGGAAAGAGTACTTCCTCAGTAGGTTGAGTTCAGTCCTGAGATCCTCTTCCTCATCCTGTGGAATAAGAACAGTGAATAAACTTCTAAACCATGCAATTTAATGACTACTATCTCTGAGGTACAGTAAATTCAAAAAGTAAAATGTTATGGGAAGCTCTTATACCCTACAGCAAATTATAATAAATTCTGAGCTTGAATTTTCAACAAGTGGCAATCTCTGGTAACTTAGTATTTGGGGGAAGGAGCTGGACTGGTAAACTGAAGCTTTCTTAATTCAGCAGTTCTTAAAATGTGGTTACTGGATCAGCACTACTGACCATTGTATAAAAATTTTATTGAATGAATTTGGAGAATTTTTGCTTGCTTTCTAAGGCAAAAATAACTTGCTTGATTGTTTTTTGGTTTTGCTCAGATATGAGAGACATACTCCACAATTAACACATGTAAAGTGTACCATTTCCTGCTTTTTAGCATATATACAGAGTTGTACATTTATCAAGACAATCAAATCTAGCAGATTTCTGTCACTCCACAATGAAACCCTTTACATTTTCGATATCACCCACCCAGAAATCGTACGTACACACACATCTCACAGATCTTTACTTTCTGTGTGTAAATTTATCTATTCCGGTTATTTTAAATACATGAAACCATATAATATGTGGCCTTTTGTAACTAGATATGTTTAAAATTCATGTCACATCATGAATCTATTTCATTCTTTTAGTTTACCATCCATCAATCGATGAATATTTGGTTTATTCTCAATTTTTGGATGTTGTGAACAATACTTCTATGGTCACTGATGTCCAATTTATATACGAACATATATTTCAATTTCTTCTATGTTTACCTCAGGAGTAAAATGCTCATTTGAATGGTTACTACGTGCTTAATGTTGTAATGAAATGCCAAACTGTTCTCCACACTCCCTTACAATTTTACATCCCTAATAACAACGTGTGAAAGGGATTCCATTTTCTCCATACCTTCACCAACACTTTTTTATCTGTTTTCATTACTATAACCATTATATAGTTGATGATGAAGTAGTATACAGTTGTGGTTTTGATTGAAAATTCCCTGATGACTAATGATATGGGACACCTTTTCATGTGCTCATTGGCCATAGCATATATTCTCTGACAAATATCTAATCAAAACTTCAATGTGCTCTTTTTTTTAGTTGAGCTTTCATTATTAAACTGTAAGAATTTTTATACATTCTAGATATAAGCACCTTATCAGATACATAATTTGAAAATATTTCTTTCATTTAGGTGGCTTCTTTGAGTGTACTTAACAAATGTCCTTTGAGGCATGAAAGTTAGAAATTTTGATGAATCCCAGTTTACAGATTTCTTGTTTTGTTGCTTATATTTTTGGTGTTATATCTCAGGATACATTGCTAAATAAAAGTTCAGAAGGATTTAATTTTTGTTTTCTTCTAGACATTTTATAATTTTAGCTCTTACATTTAGGTCTCTGATCCACTTTGAGTTAATTTCTGTGGGAAGTTAAGGCCCCCTTATGTGTATGGTCTCAAGTTGCATTCATTTACCTACACAAATCTCAATTGCATTGTCTCATTAATGTGAGAAAGTGGTAAGTAGGAACCAAAATGTACAATAGATACTGTGAATTGGGAAGAAATTTTTCAAAAGAAAATAAACTGCAATGGGAAAAACGGGAAAAGAAGGAAGGGAAAAGGAAAAAATACTTATGTCTACATACACAAGACAAGACAGTTATACAACTAGTTTCCCTTACTTGGTTGAAAAGGAAGATTTGTGCTAATATTGTTTGGACAATATTTCATGTTTTTATCTTGTACTCTGAGTAATTACTATGAAGACAACAATACACAATGTATTAACTCTTGTTAATCTCCTATTAGCCTGTTTTGAAACTCTGTTATTTTTTTCACTTTAAAATAAAAAAGGAAAGTAGACATCCAATTTTAATATTTTGTATGTGGATAGGCAGTATCACACTGCCAATTAGTCTGTGATTTATTACCTTATAAAGGCATTGTTTTGCTCTGTGCTTATCTTTCTTAAAACTACATTTCAAATAATTTATTTTCCTAATCAAGGCAGTGGTGCCTGTAGATGAAGTAAGGTATATAAGTATTGTGCCCTTATGGAAAATTTCCTTCAAATATTGCTAACAATTCATAGTGTATTTTTTCAGATATCTGTATATGTTAATGTAGTGACTAGAACAAAGGGATATATATATAAAATATGGCAATTTATTTTTAATATAAGCAAGCGCATATTTTTCTCACTATTCAGAAACATTCACTTTTATTAATAAAGCATATCTTTCCTTTTTCAATTTTTATTCTTATTAGTACGCATTTGCCAGCCATAATTATTGCACTTCCTTGTCGTGACTTGGTACATGCACCTAAAACATCTTAATTCTTTCATCATCTGCTTTTCCTCCACTCCTGCCCTCCCCCTCCATCTCTTGGTCCCCTTCCCTGTGCAAAGGACAACACTCTATATTAATAATCAAATGCACATTCTTTATGGCCTCATAAGACTGCATAAAATGAAGGTACAGGTCTGATGCTCAGGGATCAGGTCTAGAGGCAACTACGTTTGAGAATTATCTGCACAGTAAAAATTGAAACCATCTGACTTAGATAAGATAACTAAAGTAGAACACATTGTTGGAAAGGTAGTACTAGCAGAAGACAGTGTAAAACTAATCAGAAAAGAGCACCTACTCTGGGCAGTAGGACAGCTGAGTTTGGGCACGGATTTCCCAGAATAGAAAATTCTCTTAATTTCCCAAAGCTTCGATGTACTTTAAAAATAATGGAAGATGTCAACCATTACCTAGCTTCATAAATTGTTACTGGGACCAAATTGGGTCACATGCATAATGTCTCTGAAATCCTTGGAAAAGGGATGCTATATTCACGAGTTATTATTAAAATATATATCTGTTATGTCTCCTCTTGTCTGAATAAGAGTGCTATCAGAACTGTAGTCCTCTCTTTAGTTTTCACCTTAATCTACAAATGTCACCCACTCCCCCTTCATTCCCCGTATATTTGCTATTGTGGAGTGATGTGGGAAGTGATTCTTTCTCCTCAAGCTTCAGCTATATCTCCTTGTAAGATGACAGCCAAATAGTTTTGATAATCCTTTTCTTACTCTTATTTCTTAAGGAATCTGAAAAAATGTTTGCTTCTTAATAATTTGAAAATAACCACATTTTTGTGTACCCCTTTAGTTACCACATCCTAGAGAAAAATATCTTAATATATTAACTTACAAAAAGGTACTCAAATTGTTAGGAATTAACAACGAACATATTATTAGTTTGTGCATTAAGATGTTGTTGCTCTAATTTAAAGAAACTGCGACACAGGGAAATAAGATTTTCATGCAAGAACAGCGTAACTTATGAAGAGCACAAAATAGTACATGATGCAGTAGGAGGTGATGAAAGATGACTCAGAGAGGGATTCTGCACCCGAATAATGGATTCACCACTGAATTCCTTTGAATCCCTACTTGTTCAAAATTATATTTGTTTATAAGTAAATCAGCACTCTCATGGTATCTATACAAATTCAGTTCATACAAACTTTCTAGGAAAAATGTTATCGTCTAAAGTCTGAAGTGAAATACACTTGTAGAGTGTAAACAGAAAAAGACTTGAAATAAATACACAAAAATATCCTGTTCTGAAGCCCAGTTAAAAGGGATATTTTTCTTTGCAAAGAACTGGGACAAGGTCATTTGTCAAGAAAGCTATTAAAGATTTAACTGCCAATTTTCTTTAGCTCTGACCAGCATTTTCACCAACTATACTGACTTAACAACCTTAGGAAAGAAGTCTCTTAGCTGAATATAACTCCACAATACCTCAGTCTATCTATGCAGTGATCATTGTCTTTGTTCGTTTATCCTGTAAGACTCAGCAGCAAAAAGTGACCAACTATATTTTATACTTGGCTATATTGTGGCTTGATTTGAAAAATCCTCATGACATAAACATAAGGTTATGCACTAGGCTCTGTGGCATCTCCATGTTGATTTGTTTTTTGCTGGTAAAGTATATTTTCTCCTAAATGCCAAATATTTATGTTATGCTTTATTTTTAAAAGTTTCAAATCACAGAAAACAATACCTGGCAGCTGCAGAACATTCTTTGGAATTCTCTCTGGATTTTACAGTAGATTTACCCATAAGCAGTTAAATACTATACTAGAAAATAAATCTACATACCAATTTGTCTTATAGGGGAAGACGATAGAGCCTGATTTGCTCACTTGGAAATTCCCAATAAAAAATTCTTCCTTTCTAATTATTGTGTAATAAAAGCATGGTTGAATAAAATAATTAAATTATGCCATGAGAATTTATTGCATGGCAACCCAGGCTCTAGTCTCATTCAAGCCTCTCAAAGATGCTCAGTTAGTAAGTTCCCTTAAAATTACTTAAATATTTTTCTAGAAAGAAAAAAGTAAAAGTTAATCTTGTAGTTTCTATTTCTGTTCTGCAAGAAACTTAAACTTCATTCTATCCCTGTGATATAGCCTTTCTTTGAGATGATAATAATATCTGGCACTATGTAGACATAAACCACAGGAACAAGAAATTTTGTATGTACTCTTAGCTTATATTAAGATAGTAATGATATACTGAGAAGAATACAAACACATAATAGTGCAGTAAATGAGAAAGATGCCTTGTAAAGCCAAGAATATGAATAAATAGTAGAAGAAAACAAGGGCAAAACTGAGTCATTTAACCTAATTGGTTGGTTGATGCCAACATTTTTTTTTCGGGTTACAAACCTCATAATGCCAAGCAAGAACAGGAGGGTAAAGCCTGGATTCTAGGCAAGTATGATACTGCATTGTTGGTATAACTTTGCTTATCAGGAACCTGAGTAATAGAGAGGTAAAAGGATCACTTTTTCAATTTTGACTATTTAGTTGTAAAGTGGGATTTAAACTCAGACCTCTGAACTTCCTCATTATTGATAATTCCATGAAGCTCTCATATATATGAGCAAATCATAGACTTTACATTCTCAGTGATTCGAGATGATACAGAGATGCTAAATAGCTAATTAGGTAGCACAGACTTTTCTTACTAGAAGACATAACCAGAGAATTCAAACTCTCCAAATAGAAAAATCTTCTAAAAGTAAGTTTCTCATATAAATGTAAATTCTCCCAAAACAAATAAATGAAGATCAGATATGTTTGGAAGGCATTAGTGTGTATGCCACTCTCAATTACCATGAAGTTGAGCTTGTGAAAAGTATATAAGTACATTATATCCATCAGGCCAAGTGGGTAATGTAAAACTCTCACACATCTCCCAGTAATACAATGCTGCAGAATTTCTTGGCTCAGGGCCAGTTGATCCTAGGCTTGCCTGAATATCCTGGTTTTTGTCAAGAATAGGCAGCTCAAGGATGCCAGATCTTTCTTTGTAATTTTCCCCAGTTTTGGAATCAAATCATTTGAATTATGGAAAGAATGCCAGAAAAGTTTTGCAAAAGAATTTTAGAGTTTTATTAACATACGTGTTTGATAGAATTGATGAAATAATTCCATTCTTTTACCTCATATTTTGTGGTTTCTTTATCTACAAAATCCTGTAATAGCTGTTTCCTTTGGTTATGCTTTGTCTCTCAAGATACATTAGAAACAATAAGGAACCTGGTACATAATAGATAAATCATGAAGTTGTTTAGAGATTCATTTCTACTATAACTAGATTCTGAGTGTGATCATATTAACAGAAAAGATTAGTTTAATGTGTTTGAGAGTACACTTATTAAAATACAAAAATTTGAAATACTTTTTTTTTTTTTCCCCTCCGGTGCCAGGAACCGAACTCACGACCTTGCACTTGCCAGGCAGGTGCTTTGCCACTGAGCTAAATCCCCAGCCCCTGAAATACTTTAATCCTGCAAAATTGACTGCAGGAGATAATTAGGACAATATCTCAGTGAACTATATTGATAAGGACAGCATTGATTGGAACAATAATTCTGCAGTTAGGTCTATGTAATATTTTGACAGTTTACCAACATCTATTGCAGCAGGAGAATTCTTTTTGCCTTATCTTATTCTAAAGCCAGTGAATCAATAAAATTAGGATATCTCAAAAAACTACAAGTATATAGGATCTTCACTCCTTTATGTGGTTGGGTACAGTTGTTAGATGTCAAGACTTTAAGGCTGGGTAGCCTGTTGATTTTCTGTCTACTATTGATTTTACAATACAGAAAAGAGAGACTATCATTTGGCGCATATAGAATAGTAGTATTAGTTAGACTCAGAATGTGAGGAAAGCCATTCAGTACAGGTCACCGAGTACCAAATGTGAGAAAGACCTAACCAAGGACTATTTTAGGTGAAATCTGCTGTTGGTCCCATCAACTCTTCTTTTGTTGCCACCCAGTCAGAGCCCTCTTTCCTCCAGAGGTCCTCAGTCTTTCCACTGTAGTCAACATTTTTCTGTTCAAACTATCATTTCTTTTAGACCCTTCTGTTTGACAGGTGTGAATGTTCAAATATGATGTCTGAATTTATAGGCATATGTTAGAAAATATGAACATTTCCATGCAAGAATATTTTAGGGATGGCTTTACCAAGAGAATAACACAATGCAAAGGAATGAATTTAAAGCTGAAAAAATAAAGCACAGGCTATGTGGTTGTTAATGAAGACTTTAGCACTCACACTGTATCTCCAGCCAACAGATTTCTGGTATTTATTCACTCTCACCCGTCTTCCTATTTCAGGTAAAGGAGTCTGTAAAACCAGGATTAAAATATTATTAGATGCACTGGTGCACTTTGGAAGTGATTTGTGCTAAGGTTTTTTTTTTGTGTGTGTGCTACATTTGTAACAAGTGGAAGAGTAACGTGATATTATTTTTCTCTTAATTTTTTACAAATAATTTCAATCTAAAAATCAATTTCTTATTATATAATAAACAATGCACTCAGTTTGTTGTAATAGATGTAAGAGACATATCAATGGCAAAATTTCTATGTGCTAATAAAGTGCTATTTTCCCCTATAAAACCAGGTCATGAATACTAACCATTGACTGGCTGTTCATGATTTTCAAATATTTCAAAATTTAGAGTATCTAAAGTATGGGTTAAATGTGGGTCTAGTTCTCTCAAACTGAAAGAAGGGCATAAGTATTTTCTATAACTTCACTCAAAAAAGGCCAAGTTTGATTATATGGGAGGCATGATTTAGAGAGCAAAACGAATCCACAAAACCTCAAAATTCCTTGAAATTCACATTGACTTACAACATTTGACACTTATTGGAAAAACAAAAAGTACACAACTCTTTCAATAACTTCAGCAGTACACTTCCTGCACAAATTCAAACAGAGTCACTTATAGCATTGACAGAAGTTCATGATTTTTCACAGTTTTTTAACACAATCTTTCCTTAACTTATAATGAAGCAAAGATCTTTTCTGTTGTGTTATGCTCATGTTAATATTATTTTGAGAAAGTCAGATTACTTATTCTAAAAAAGAAATGAATACTTGATAAGTTCTATGACAATATGTTATAAATTATGACAAACTTTTTAAATATTAGCAGGAACGCTGCCAATTAAACTGTTTTTCTTGCTCGTCTGTCAGAAAATGCACGACAACTGTGCATCTCTGACAAGTTTTTTACTTCTACCTGTCAATGAGAATGTAATAGCCTCCATCCTCAAACAGAATCATTGGAGAGGGAAGAGAATCTGATGGAACATACAAGAATTAACACAATATAGAGGAAATATCTTGTTTTTTACTCTGGGCAGCAGATAATTGACAGGAAATGGAAGGAAATAGAGATGTTTTCCCTAGTGTTGTAGAATACCAAAATTTATGGAATTTTTAGTGTTAGTAAAGTATTTTAATGTAGAAATACAATAAAACTATAAGTACAATAAATCAAAGTTTATTAATAATATTAAAAAACTGTAGTAGATCCAGATAACAATAATTATATAAAATAACTTCTGCTGTGCATGGTGGCACATGCCTGTAATCCTAGCACTTGGGAGGCTGAGGTAGGAGGATTGTTGTGAGTTCAACACCAGCCTGGGCTACAAAGTGAGCTCAAGTCCAGCCTGAACTGCATAATGAGATCTTGTCTCAAAAAAGACAAAAAGTAATAATAATAATTTTGAACAAACACAATATATATTGAACTGCTTATACAAGAACACAGTCCTTAAAGTAAAAGAACAGAGATAAGATACATTATTACCTTCCGAGCATTCATCACTTTCACAGCCGTAAACGCACCAGTCTTTTCATGGAGTCCCTGAAACACCAGATAGTGATAAACATGCAATGTTAGTTATTTAATCCAGCAATCAAGAAGCAAGCAAAGAAAAAAAATGAATCTAAATAAGGCTTACCAACATTATAAAGAAACTCCAAGTATTTCACTCAAAAAATCAAGCAAGTTCATGGAGTAGTTTTGCTTTTTACGTTTGTGCTAAGTAATGGACACAACTCACTATTTAAAGTTACTGCTTACTTAATGTCTTTAGGCTAGGGTTGTTTGGCATCCACACACAAAATGGGAATTTCAACTGAGGATGGCTGAACCGGATATGTTCTACTATAGACTTTTCCACTGATTCTACAGTACTATGCAAACAGATCTTTCCACTGGCCCTTTTTCAATACACATACATTTCTCTATAATGATCAGTACTGGTAAGTGTGATTCATAATTACATCAACAGCTTCTAAATTGCTTGACACATCCTGAATCATATGAAGCAAACATTTCATGAAAAGAAAAACCTTTGTAAAATTCTTATGAGAGACATGATGAATTCTAAGAATTTAGTCTTATCCTAAATTTAAGTGCAAGTTACAGTTTACAATTATAACAGTTAGACATGTAAAAACTACATTATAGATGTTATTTTGTATCTGCTTTTAAAACATATTTCAAATTGTGGTAACGCTACCAAAAAATCAGTCCAGCATTATTACTATGAGTAACTTTAACATGAATAAAATGTCTTATTTGATAGTTCTCAAGCAAAAGAATTTTATTCTAGGGCAGTATTCGATTGACCATTGTCTTCCCAAAATTTATATTCACTTGGAACTGAAGATTATGATCTTATTTAGGAACATGTTCTCTGTCGATGTAATCAAATTATGGTGAGGTCATACTGGATTAGGACAGCAAATAATTGGTGTCACTTGTCTTAATTTGATCAGCTCGTTTGGACACAATGATATATTTTATAGGATTATGATATAAATTGAACTTTAGCTGTGTTTACATAAATTATTAAATATGCTGAAAACTTTAAATTCATTTACAACTCTAGGAGCAATTATATAATAATATTTATTATTTAGTCCTTATCCCAGTTTAGAAATTGCTGCTTTTCTATTCATTCATGCAAGTACTTCTTAGGGAAATACTTCCCATATCTGTATGTACAAATATAACATATTGGCAATTGATCCTCACTCCTTAAAGGAATTATAATGTTCACTCCTTGATTATAAAAGATTACTTATGGGTCAAACTAATATTGCAGGCAATATAAAGCATTTGACGTATTATCAGATATATTAACCACACTGCAGCTTGTTTGACTGATAGTAAAATAAGAAAATTTTAATGTCAGAAAGTCTCATGAGTCATAATTCAATACACATTAGTGGGATAACTGGGTGGCACTAAGGCGCTACCCATGGCTATCATGGCTGTAGAATTCAAAAAGTCGTTTTATTCCTATTCTGACTATCTCTGATCTAGTCTCTTTTGAAAATTGCATAAAATTATACTGACAATACATCCTAATGTGACTTTTCAAAAATACACTTACCACAGCTGCAGAGGAATAAAACCCTAGGTCTTGGCACTATGTAATGAGTTAGCACGAAACCATTATATAAGATTCTATAGAAGGGGGTATATATCGATAACAGATGATGATAAATTATTGCTGCTAATGAGGCATTTGAGAGAATTTAATTTGTATCTTGAATTCTTAAAACTTTATTTTGAAATAAATTTCAACCTAAAATTAGTTTCAAAAACAGTACAGAGCATTTCTGTATTTCCTTCACTCAACTTCTGTTTTTAATACAATATATTACATGGCGAAGGTACAATTGCCAAGCTAAGAAATACAACATATTAACTATAGTTTAAAACATATTAACTATTAATTATAGTTAATTTTCATACTGATGCCCTCACTTTGTTCACTTATGTCCTTGTTTTCTGTGCCCAAACTGGGATCTCACACTCTATTTAGCTGTCATTTCTCCTTAGCTTCTTCAATCTGTGACAGGTCCTCAGTCTCCTATATCTCATGACTGACACTTTTCAAGAGTACTGGTGAAGTAGTTTACATAGTGTCCATCAACTGAGGTTATGGCTGGTGTTTTCCTGTGATTAGGCAGAAGTTGTGGGTTTGGAAGAATACTACAAAAATGAAATGTCCCTTACATCACATCATATCAGGGATATATGCTATTACTGTGACTGTCCCTTCTTTCCCCCCTCCACCTTATTCCTTTTTGTTTCTCTTCTCTAGTAGTCTATTTTCTACTTTCAGGTTTAACACTGGTTTTGAAGAGTGATAATACTGTTGTTGAATAGCTGTCTGTAGAACCTATGAGACATTTTGAGATGAACTAATTGTTTAATGGTGCCACCTTGTGGTTTACTGACTACATGGAAGATGTTTGGTGACTAGCGAAATAAAGTCTGTCGTCATGAACAGAATCCAGTTTTTAGGACATCCAATGTTTTCAGTCACAATGTGTGGTTTATGACAATTTGAAACACCATTTGTTGTAAGAATACATTCAAAAATGCCAAGAAAAGAGTTTGGTTTAGGATTCTAGATTGAATGTTAAATAAGCACAACTGCCATACTCCCTGTAAAATAAGAGAAAAAGCCTTAAATTATAAATATGATTATTTTTCCTTTTCCTACCAGCAATATTAACAATATGCAGTCAGTCACTAGCTATGCTAGGTTAACTTCCTTGAGTTTAATTGCAAAGACTGACCATTATAATTTTTTTCAAAGTGCTAAATAAAAACTGTATATACTTCTGATGTATTAACAAAATGACTCATTATACGTATACACTGTGTAGTGAATAAACTAAACTAATTAACATACACACTATTTCACTTGCATATCTTGGGGAGCAGAAATAAGACCACTTAAAATTTACTGTCTTGAGTTTGAAAATTCCCAACAGAAGGAAATTATTAAATTTTTTTTTGTTTTTTTTTTTCTAGTGCCAGGAATTGAACTCATGACCTTGCGCTTGCCAGGCAGGCGCTGTGCTGCTGAGCTAAATCCCCAGCCCCAGAAATGATTAAATGTTGAATAAGGTGGAAACAATAATTGCCCTGATTTTATCATCATACATTGTATACATTTGCTGAATTATTACACTGTACTCCGTAAATGTTTATTATTGTTATATGTTGATAAAATTTTAAAAATTCCTCCTAACAAATTTTAAGTATATAATTTATTTTTCTTAATTGTAGTTACCATATTGTATAGTAGCGCTCTTGGATTGATTCCTCTACTCTAAGTGAAACTATGTGTCATATGAATAGCTTCCCAATCTGTTTCCTGCACTCTACCTCTGTTCTATTTCTAGTGCTACAATTTTGTCAATGTTTTTTAGATTCTTCATATGAGTGAGAACAATTGATATTTTTTTTGCTGGCTTATTTCATTTAGCATACTGTCTTCCAGGTTCATCTATGTGGTCCAAAACGAAAGGATTACTTCTTAAATAATTTTCAAGCATCAAGGAGTAAAAATAAGGATATTCTGCTAGCTCTCATTTCTATAAGAAGAAGAAATCCTGCTGGATTAATTTTTTATGTAAATTCATAGTCTATTTGGTATTTGAGAAACAGTAAACATTATGCAATAACAATGGTTTGTAGACATCCCCGACTCTAGTTTGAAGTCCATTGTCATTTGCAACGGAAAGTTTACAAACTTCATTGCAGGAACTTACTGTCATGAAGTCAGACTTATTTTAATGTATTGAAATTTAGGTATTAATAAATTAAGCTCATAAGTTTTGATTTTAGAGACAAAAGAGGTCACTCACTTCAGATAATTTCCACATACCATAGGTCTTAGTTGCTCTCTTGTTTGTGGGACAAAATATTCAACACCGACTAGTTAAAGGAGGAAAAGTTTATTTTGGCTCAAAATTTGTAAAGGTTTTAGTTCATAGTAAGCTGGCTACAAGGGCATCATGATAGAGCAGCATGGCAGAGGAGAAATCATTCATGGCACGGTATGCATGAAATAGCAAAGCCTTTCTTCTTTTTTCCCTTTTGATTACGTCTAGGCTGCAAGTCTACTGCTTGGTGACACCCACATCCAGAGTATGTCTTCCTCTTCAGGAAGTCCATCATCCACACAGAGAATCATGTTAAACCAGTGATTGAACACAGTATCATACATCCACGTTCCAGTCACTCAAAAATGCCTCACCTTTGAGTGAATGAAGCTTTGGAGGGACATCTAGATGCAAAGCATAACATTCCAACTCTGACCCCCAAAAGACTCATTCACATCCCTTTATGCAAAAGGCATTTAGTGCACCTCTAAGGGTTGCCAATGTCCTCATAGTTCAGCACTACTGAAAGGTCCAAGTGCAAATTCTCCTCTGATTTTTAGGGCAAACTCTTAGTTGTGGGCTGCTGTAAAATTGTAAGGAAAGCTAAGCACTTCCAATATACAATGGCACAAGTTAAACACTCTCATTTCAAAAGGTACAAGTAGGTAGATAGAAAGGAATGGGACCAGAGCAAGATGAAAATGCAGCAGGGCAAACATTACATCCTGTAGTTTCATGTCCAGCACCTGGGAAAATGTATGTTGAGATGTGAACTACAAAGGGATTGGGTAGCCCTATACTTCTGGCAGTGTTGGTGAGTATAGCCCCCATGACATCTCTTTTTAACCAACTTTGCTTACTCCTTGCAGCTTTCCTCATATGATCCATGTTCTTGGCTTCTCCAAACTTCTGGGGTCTCCACTCTACTTTCAGCTTCCACTCACAAGCTCATATACTACCTTCTCAGAGGCACACTGTCCACACTGGTGTGTCAGGCCTTCCAAAAACTGAATGGAAGCCTTCCTGACTCTACAACTCCTGCATTCTGCATGCACCTAAAGCCAACACCAAGTGGATATCACCAAGTCTGCCATCAGCTAGAGCAATAGCCAGCCTTCCTTCTCTCTTGGCTGTCTGGGATGAGTACCTGGATTGCTGACATTATGA